CAGATAGACAGGTTGCAGATTCAGACAGGCATGGTGGCACAGGTAAAACACAACGATCCAGCTCAGAGGGGAGGTCACACTCAGCTTATATAGGAAAGGCTTCCTTAATCAGCAAATAGACAACAGCTGTCCCTGCTGAGCCCAAGCTCCCCAGGCTGGATCCATGGCGCCCTCTGGTGGGCAAAGCCCCGGATCCTGACAGTACCCCACCCTCAAGGGCGGATTCCAGACGCCCCAAAGAAAAAAAAAACAACTCGCCCATGGAGGGCGAAGGGCGAACCAGGGATGCCAGGAAGAGTCTCAGGTGGCCGGCCATGAAACCGGCAGCAGAGCAGAGTCTCAGAAGCTGCAGGGGCCTTGGAGGAGGGTGTCACCTCCGCTTCAGCAGGAAGCACCGGGAGAAACTCTGTCTCCGCTTCAGCAAGAAGCCCCGAGAAGGACGCCGTCTCCGCTCCCGCTACTCTGCAACAGGTCCGCCCACTACGGCTCCACATCCAGAGCAGAGGAAGCCGCCGACTGCGGCTCCGCATTCGGAACAGAGGAAGCCACTGACTGTGGCTCCACCTCAGGAACAAAGGACACCACTGATTGTGGCTCCACCTCCGGAGTCTCTGGAAGGCGCAGAGCGGGCTCAGGGGTCTCCAGATGGCACAGAGCGGGCTCTCCAGGAGCGCGTAGAAAGAGTCTGCTGGGCTAGTCTGTTGGCTGGATCGTTCTGTCATGATGCGATGGTTTTACTAGCCCAAATGCAGACTCACAGACACAGAGGGAGGATTAAAAGTCCAGTATTTAATTGGAACCGGTTGACAGACAGACAGGTTGCAGATTCAGACAGGCATGGTGGCACAGGTAAAACACAACGATCCAGCTCAGAGGGGAGGTCACACTCAGCTTATATAGGAAAGGCTTCCTTAATCAGCAAACCCAGGCTGGATCCACGGCGCCCTCTGGTGGGCAAAGCCCCGGATCCTGACAGTCGCCTCCACTACAACCGCAGACATCCCAAGTTCCAAAAACTTATTTCAGGGAGATGCTTAATGAAGATAAATTGTGCCTTCATCAGTAGTGGGTTAGAGATATACAGTGAAGTTCACAAGAGGGCCAATTTAATTCAGTTTGGTTCAGGTAGATATTTCATAATGCAGAAAATAACAATCTTATTGTACAATTTATTTATGATGCTTTATAATAATAAATATGTGCCATAAAATATTTGCTTGTGTGCTTGCATTAATGATCTGTGCCCATGTTTTTATAAAATAAATAATTGCCCAAAATTTGTTTTGCTCACGTGCTCTGTGCGCTCGCATTTTATTTGGTGCCCTATTGTGCCCCTGTATAGTACTGGGTCAGCTGACGCCCCTGGCCGCACCGTGCGTGCGCCACACATGCACGCCATCATTCTTCACCCTCACTAGACATGGATAAACTTTCTGATGCAAAATGAGGAGACTGTAAAAGAGTAAACTGAAACTTATTGGCTTATTTTTCTGACTGATCCAATCAGTTCTCTGACCAACTAGTCGCCTGGAACGCTGCTTGATCAGAGCATCGCTTTGGACAGATACATCAGCTCAATAGTCAAAAGAAGGTGCAAAAAGGAGGAAAAGGTGCACAGGGATATCCCTGCGCCAACATTTGTACACATATATGCATATATTTCTGTATGTCTACATTTCCAATGAAAACAAAAGAGCCTTAATATATATTTAAAAAAGACAACTTGAGTCTAAAAAAGTAGCTTTAAAGGTTTATTTTTAGATTTAAGTCCTTTTTTTAGTTTCCACGTTGATTTTCTAGTATCAATTTAAAACAAAGAAAAACTTTTTTTGAACAAACTTTATTTGCCCTTTTGAGCTCCATATAACTGATTTCTTGAGGATTTTTTAAACGATAGATGGCCTGAAGTCGTATAGACCTTCCAGATGCTTTCTGCATCGCATGTGATTGTCACATTAATTTTTATATTTTTAATTCAGTCTGATTCTCGTGGAAAAAACAAAACTAAATGCATCAATAATGTGGTAAATTTTGTTACATTATTGTTACTAGCAAACAACACAGATTAAAATTTGTGGGGGAAAAAATAAACATTTTTTGTTCTAGGTTTTGTTTTTTCATATTTTGTTTTTCTAAATGTTATTTTTCCAAAGGTTATTTTTTTCTTAAAAAGTAAATATTTTATATTTACAAGTGTTTTTTTTTTTTTTTTTTTTTCTCTTAGTTTTTTTTTTAAATCTAGACCTCATTTTCCTCATCACCTCCAGCCCAATCCAAACGCTTCCTCTTGACCAATAAAAATGTTGTTGCTGACATGCAGCAGACCAATAAAAAACATCTTTGCTTCTCACTCCTAAAAAGAAGCCCTTCCCCAGTGAAGAGAGTATCCTCTGAAAAAAGCAATTTAAAAAGAATGCAAGTTTTTTAAACTTAATGTGAAAAAAGAAACACGGTCTACACTCACCGGCCACTTTATTAGGTACACCTGTCCAACTGCTCGTTAACACTTAATTTCTAAGCAGCCAATCACATGGCGGCAACTCAGTGCATTTAGGCATGTAGACATGGTCAAGACAATCTCCTGCAGTTCAAACCGAGCATCAGTATGGGGAAGAAAGGTGATTTGAGTGACTTTGAACGTGGCATGATTGTTGGTGCCAGAAGGGCTGGTCTGAGTATTTCAGAAACTGCTGATCTACTGGGATTTTCACGCACAACCATCTCTAGGGTTTACAGAGAATGGTCAGAAAAAGAAAAAACATCCAGTGAGCGGCAGTTCTGTGGGCGGAAATGCCTTGTTGATGCCAGAGGTCAGAGGAGAATGGCCAGACTGGTTCGAGCTGATAGAAGGGCAACAGTGACACAAATAACCACCCGTTACAACCAAGGTGGGCAGAAGAGCATCTCTGAACGCACAGTACATCGAACTTTGAGGCAGATGGGCTACAGCAGCAGAAGACCACACCGGGTGCCACTCCTTTCAGCTAAGAACAGGAAACTGAGGCTACAATTTGCACAAGCTCATCGAAATTGGACAATAGAAGATTGGAAAAACGTTCCCTGATCTGATGAGTCTCGATTTTTGCTGCGACATTCGGATGGTAGGGTCAGAATTTGGCGTCTACAACATGAAAGCATGGATCCATCCTGCCTTGTATCAACGGTTCAGGCTGGTGGTGGTGGTGTCATGGTGTGGGGAATATTTTCTTGGCACTCTTTGGGCCCCTTGGTACCAATTGAGCATCGTTGCAACGTCACAGCCTACCTGAGTATTGTTGCTGACCATGTCCATCCCTTTATTACCACAATGTACCCAACTTCTGATGGCTACTTTCAGCAGGATAATGTGCCATGTCATAAAGCTGGAATCATCTCAGACTGGTTTCTTGAACATGACAATGAGTTCACTGTACTCAAATGGCCTCCACAGTCACCAGATCTCAATCCAATAGAGCATCTTTGGGATGTGGTGGAACGGGAGATTTGCATCATGGATGTGCAGCCGACAAATCTGCGGCAACTGTGTGATGCCATCATGTCAATATGGACCAAACTCCCTGAGGAATGCTTCCAGCACCTTGTTGAATCTATGCCACCAAGAATTCAGGCAGTTCTGAAGGCAAAAGGGGGTCCAACCCGTTACTAGCATGGGGTACCTAATAAAGTGGCCGGTGAGTGTATATTAACACATGTTGGATGTACATAACATCTTTCTGAAAGGTGAAGGAGACACAGTTTCAGGTCACAGGTGCAACACAGAGGATCATCCACTTTAAAAAATGTCCAGGCTTTTTATGAGATGAAATGGCTTTCAGCTTATACAGTGGTTATAAAAGAAAAAAAAAAACTATAGTTAAATTAGAACGTATATTTTACTGAAAGTTTCATATGGTTTGGAACAGACCTTTACCAGGCATTCTAAGAAGAAAAACAAAAACACACAGATCCAACAGGGGCTAGGCAGAAACAGAAAAAAAACAGGAGGCAGAAACGGATCAGGGATCAGGATCAGCATCACAGACAGAGAAAAATGCTGGATGCTTACTAAACGAGGCTTTCAGGCAATGTCATTTTGTCAGAGGCCAGCTTAAGAAGGCTGGCAAACAGGTGAGGGGAATCAGTGGTAATTACGCTGAGCAGCAGCAGCACAGGATGGCCAAATGAACAGTCAGAGAAGAAGGGAGAGGGGAATGAAATCACAAACACTAGTTGACAGGCTCGAAACGAATACAGTGAGATAGTAAATGAAAAGGAACATTGGAGAGGGCGTGTGGTTTAATTATCAGGGTTTAAAACTGCTCTGTCGCTCTGATAAAGATTACTACTGAGTGTTAGAGAGGGAAAAAAAAGCCAAGGGGAAAAAAATATGAATAAACTGAATTGAATTGAAATGAAAAAGGGGATTTTTTTTTTTTACTTCTAACGGCACTTTCTTTACATGATTCAAACAATTGAAGCAATTACCGATGTGTCAGTTAAAATCAATATTAATGTAAAAACAAGTATCAGCTAAAAATCATTAAATGAGGAGCTTGTTAAATTGTAGTTGTCCTTTATTTGACATATTATGTAAAATTTTGTTAATTCACCACAACTGCATAAAATCCTCCATGAGCTTAACCCCAACCCAAGCATTAGCTATGACCTCTGAAAGGTTTTAAAATATCAATAGTTTTATTAACTTATTAATACCTATTATTAACTTTAAGAAATATGCAATAATAGATGTTTTTTCAAAATTCTATTATTGTTTATTTTTAAACTTTATTTTTTAATTAATGTATAGTTTTTATTTTTTTATTTTATTTTTTACAAATCACACTCTCCCTGCTGCAGGTGTCTGATCCTAAAGATATGGATGACTTACTGAGCATCAGCTGCCATTAAACTCCACAGAAGGAGCCTGGGAGAAAATCCACTAACAGTCTGCAAATCCGCCACCAGGGGGCGCGGATACACCTGTTGCTGATCTGCTTGGTGCATGACGCAACCGGAAACATTGAACCCGGCTAGCTGACGTTAAATGGTTTAGCAACTGGCGCGCGGCACGGAAGGAAGCGGCGTGTCTTTCTCTATTTAACTTAACAGAAAAGTCTTTAAAAGGTTAGTTTAATACAATATTAAACTCAATAGTTTTCTAATGAAAGCTTTTTTTAATCATCGTTAAAATTAAGACAGAAATTACTTATATCAGTTTGTCCATTTGTCCTTTTTTATTGCTGCGCATTATCAGTTGTTAGCGCCGGTAATGCTATTCCTGCTTGCTTACGCAGGTTTCTTCCGCTGTCAGAGAGGCTAACTGATAAATGTTGATATATTTTTGCGTAGCTTGAGGTCTTTCCTCTTCTATTAGCGCTGGGAATGTGAGTTTTGTCTCTGCAGGTGGTGGACATGGCCTCAGAGGACATCGCTCAGCTGGCTGACGCTCTCTCCAAGACACACGTCGGTGATGGAGAGCTGAGCTTTAAAGGTCTGGGACTGAAGCTCGACGACGCGGAATCAGGTGAGAAGATGTTTTTACTTTATGAGGCCGTTTAGTTTCTGTTTTCCGTCCTCTGTTCTGATCATTCCATGTTTCAGTGCGGGAGCTGGTCAGCCAGATCGAGCGGTACCCGGGTCTGAGAGCTCTGCGGCTGGAAGGAAACACCGTGGGAGTGGACGCAGCCAGAGCCATAGCTAAAGCTCTGGAGAGCAAAGACCGGCTGCAGGTACTTTCACTTCATGTTGGCTTTGAAATAAAAGGAAATCAGATTTCAGTGTGTGACATCACAGACCCGAAGAAAGCACCATGAATAGAGTGCCTGGCACTGGAATAGAATAGAAAATCGCTTTATTGTCCAACAGTTGGGAAATTCTGTTTTTTTAAAGCAGCAAAAAAATTGTCACAAAAATGAGTATAAGAATAACATAATAGTGAAGAGTTAAAGGAAAAGTCCACAATCATTAGATCATGATCTATACGGTAAGGTGATTTAATGAATTTAGCATTAGTCAGTTAAAAAATAAACATAGTAGCACCTCCCCACTGCCATCTTCCAGCAGTGAGGTCACGGTGCGGTAAGCCTAGCGCCATTCTCCCCACTTTACAAGCAAAATCAATGGGAACTACTAGACACATCTGCAATCAACAACAATTATTGAAGATTTCCAGAGGACTTCACCATTGAAATTCACCAGAGCTATAGTGAAACTGACAATGCCCACGTGCATGGCAGTTGGATGTTGGAATATGTCGGGCAAAAGTGGAAAAAATTAGTCATTTCACCTTTTCATTTCCTGATCCTCCACGTTTGAGGATCAGGAAAGTTTTCCAAGAATGACTTGGATAATGTTTTGAAGATGACTTGGATAATAGCGCGTTGTGACAAACACCAGATACAGCACTGGGACTTGATCAACAGCCGATACCACACCGTGACGTCACAAACCAGTAGGTGGCAGTAGTGTTCTTTGACAAACATGGATGCCTCCAGTAAAGCACATTCACATGAAAATTACTCTTATTTAAAAACACTTATCATTTATTGAACACTATGTAGTAATTTCATATTTAAAGTACTTTCAGAAGTTTGAATTCTGAATTTGACCGGACTTCTCCTTTAAAAAATAAACAAATTAAATAATGTACTGTAACGTGTTTTTAACAATATAAAACTGTACACGTGGAGAATAAATAACCAATATACAGCTATGGACATTTTTACAGTAATGGATACTTAAGAAATAGCAGCAACATCAAAGATGGGCAAAATGACATTACTTTGCTTCAATGTTTTAAAAAGAATCTTGACTTTAACTTTAGGATTTAATTTCTCAATTTGACAGATTTTGTGACAAACCAGATTAACATTTAACAGAACATTTGTTGCAATCCACTCTTTCTTCATTTATAGGGTAGTCTATGAAATTCGGGTCAAGAGTGTTATCAAAATTGTTACAACATTATCATCAGCTCCTTAATGCTGATCCAGGAATTAATTTTTTGTACTTTTTAAATTGGCTTATTAAATTATTAACTCTCTTAGAAGTTAATTTACAGTAAGAAACACATTACACAAAAAAGGCAACATTAGGTTAGTCAATGAAGCCGATACCCTCAGATTTAAGACAGGCGTGAACCTTACAGCCTTGCAGATCACACAGGATCTCACTGTTTTGCCTGGTTTGCTGCATATCAGTGTTTATATCCAAGGTACCAAAAATAATAATTTAAATGATAAAGGGTTAAAGTTGCAGCTAAAATCAACAGTTGATAATTGGTTCTTTTGTTAACAAATGATTACATTTTGTCCTGATTTCTCTGACCAAGCTTTAAACTCCTTCATTAAAACAGAAGCTCTGTACATACGGCTGTCCTCTCCCTCAGCGTTCGATTTGTGTTGATTCAATCAATGTTTTGTTTATTTCAGAGATGCTACTGGAGTGATATGTTCACAGGAAGGCTGCGCTCTGAAATTCCCACTGCTCTGGTGAGATTAGCTTCCCTTGTTTTTACTTTCCCATCACTTAAGGTTTAATTTTATTTAAACGGTTTGGTTCCTACACCGGACGATCCAAAGGACCTGACAGGAAATCTGAGGAAAAATGGCAACAAAAAAAAACAAACATTTTTGCTTTAAAAATAAGAATTTATTTAAATTTCATTTATTCCTCAATCTCTCGTTCAAACTCATCCTTAGTTATTTGATTCTGTTTTCAATGTTGATTTAAAGAAGTTATCGGTTCCTGCACACCTCCTTATTTTTTATTTTTATTTTTTAGAACTGAGGACCTTAGCTACTAAATGTATATTTAAGAGAAGCATCTCTTCTGAAATATTTTACAGGATCTTATACCTTCTTATAAATGGAAGTGATATTTACTTTATAATTATTCTGATCATGCTTTTATTAGATGTCCTTGAGTGGTGCGTTAATGAGCGCTGGTGCCAGGCTGACTGAGCTGGACCTCAGTGATAACGCCTTCGGGCCTGATGGTGTCAGGGGAATTGAGCAGCTCCTGAAGAGTCCATCCTGCCACATACTGAGGGAACTGAGACTCAACAACTGCGGCATGGGAACAGGAGGAGGAAAGGTGACTTCAAGCCAAGCACCGCATCTTTTTAGCAGCTGACGAATAAGATCTAAACAGATTTTTTGTGTGTGTGTGTTAAACAACCAGATCCTGGCTGAGGCTCTAATCGAGAGCCACAAAAAGTCGGCAGCCCTTGGATCCCCCCTGAGACTGAAAGTGTTCATTGCAGGGAGAAACCGGCTGGAAAATGATGGAGCCACTGCCCTGGCTAAGGCCTTCCAGGTAGATGGTATTTTACTTTCTTTAGGTGCTTTTAAAATGATAATTCAGGTTCAGGAGTGATTCAAATACATTTAAGTTGGCTCCTTCTGGCATTAGCCTTTATTCGTCATGTAGTGTAATGTTGTCGGGACGGGTTAATAAATGCCATTATTATTATGAAAAATGAGGTGGCTGGCAGGAATTTGGTTAACCCCTCGGTTTGTCAGTGTTTCAATTAATACGACCTTCCTGTTTCATCATGTCATGGGAAAAAAGTATTCAACTATTCACCCCAGTTAAATAAACAGAGATCGGTGGATTTTACTCAGTCCGCACTTTATTTTATCCTTGCAAAGAAAGAACAGTTTGGTACGGAAGAGGGTTAGGGCCTGTGGGGAAAAATTGATTGATCAAAACATTGATTGAATTCTGACTTTAATCTCAGAATTCAGACTTTTTTCTTCTTCAGAATTCTGACTTTAATCTCAGAATTCAGACTTTTTTTTTCAGAATTCTGACTTTAATCTCAGAATTCAGACTTTTTTTTTTCAGAATTCTGACTTTAATCTCAGAATTCTGACATTTTTTTCAGAATTCTGACTTTAATCCCAGAATTCAGACTTTTTTTCAGAATTCTGACTTTAATCTCAGAATTCTGACTTTTTTTTTCTGAATTCTGACTTTAATCTCAGAATTCTGACTTTAATCTCAGAATTCAGACTTTTTTTCAGAATTCTGACTTTAATCTCAGAATTCTGACTTTAATCTCAGAATTCAGACTTTTTTTCAGAATTCTGACTTTAATCTCAGAATTCTGACTTTAATCTCAGAATTCTGACTTTAATCTCAGAATTCTGACTTTAATCTCAGAATTCTGACTTTTTTTTTCAGAATTCTGACTTTAATCTCAGAATTCTGACATTTTTTTCAGAATTCTGACTTTAATCCCAGAATTCAGACTTTTTTTCAGAATTCTGACTTTAATCTCAGAATTCTGACTTTTTTTTTTCTGAATTCTGACTTTAATCTCAGAATTCTGACTTTAATCTCAGAATTCTGACTTTTTTTCAGAATTCTGACTTTAATCTCAGAATTCTGACTTTTTTTTTTTTTCCAGAATTCTGAGTTTAATCTCAGAATTTTGGATCTTAATGTAGATGGGCACCATGGAGGTAGAGATGTGGGAGCATTCAGCTTCACTGACAAAGATGTGAGTTGTTTGACAGGGCCAGTGACACATTGGTGGAAAATGACGGAATTAGGCAACTTTTTACGTGCCCGAGGGGTCCCCTCATTAATAGAGGAGCAGAAGGTCATTAAAACAAGAGGGCTAGTCTCTAAAACAGACATGGCTATGGCTTGATGCTAACATGTTTGTTAGCTGTCAGAATTCTGAGAAAAAAGTCAAAATTCTGAGATTAAGACTTAACACCCATATTAAACTAAAATAAAATTTAAAAATCAGTTAACTTTTTTTTGTTTTTTCAGTGGCCCTAATCCTCTTCCGTAGTTTGGTAATCAGCCCAGTTCCGTTCTGGGCAGCATTCCCCTGACTTAAAGTAGTCAGAGTCGAAACAAATTACAGACACTTTGGTTAAACAGTTACATGTTATGAATAAACCTTTATAGAGAATCTCGCTTGCTATGGGAAGAAGTACGTCTAGTCTACAAACACCCCTCGCTCAGGCATTATGTGGCCTTGCAGGGGAAACGGACTGAGAAACTTTTATAGTGAGTAATTAGCTATAAATCAATATATGAAATGACAGAAAACTAAATTTCCCGATCACAATTGGCAAGATGATAATTTAAGAATATAAAACATTGTGTAGGATCCATACCAAAATTTTACATACGAAAACACCCAAAAATTGCATATAGGAGGGAAAAAATCCTGTTTTATAAAATCCTGTCCAAACCCATGCAGGTTCCTTTATGGATCACAGCTGTGTCTCTGTTTACATCCAAGGTTCCACCTTATGTTCCGCCAACTTCACACCAACATTAGACAATAAGTCTAAGCAAACCTCCGCATGAAAGTCATCATGCATCTGAAGATCCATGCGCTTAACGTTATTTAAAGGTTAACAATGGCAAGCAAAGGATGGAAGGAAAAGCAGTTTAACCGCGGTTTGTGAGTGAGATGGAGAGTCAGATAAATATGTTTTGTAGCCACAGTAGATCAATTAAGTATTTTTTTTTTTATCACAGAGTCTGATGGATTATCAGATTAACGAGGACTTCCAGGCAGCATGGAGCTGTTAGCTGGTTGGGATATCTCAGCTTAAATTCACAGGATTATTCAGTTCCTAAAAGAAGCTTCAGGTAGAGCGTCAGTTAATATTTGATTACGGTATGTTTAACATCAGTAAGGCAAGATCCAATAGGAACCACAGAGGTTGCAGGTCAACCTCCTACCTCCAATGCCACCGTCACCCCAATGGAAGAGTTATGAAGAGACTATGGCTACGTTCACAGAGGAGCCTGAATTGACCCAAATCAGATTTTTTGCCCATATGCGACCTCTATCTGATCTTTTCATGGCAGCCTGAACAACACCGATCAGATTTTTTTTTTAACCCCCAATGCAACCCAGGCCACTTGGCTCTGTGAACGCTTGGCTCTGAACGGCCAGGTTGCATTCATCTGACCTGAACACCAATAATGCTCCACAAAGGTCACTATTCTGCATCTTACTACGCAGAAACAACCAGCATGGCGGATGATAATGCAGAGAGCAGTATTTTTTTAACCACTTTTCAAGATGTTTAAAGGTTTGGAAAGGTCCCTCGATGCACTCCAGCGCTACCATCCACGTTTACTTCCGTAACACAGAGCACGCCCGCTGTTTGTGACGTCATTGCGTCCTCTACTGAGCATGCGGGACTCTAGCTTTATATAAATGCAGTTCACACAGGAGTTCACACAAAAGTTGCATATAATTGGGAATGTGAACGGCAACTCAAAAAAATTGTATTTAACAAAAAAGTAAGGCCTACAGCCTGAACGTAGCCGAAAACAAACATGGTAGTGCAGGAGGCCGTTAAATTAGCTGCTGCAATCGTATCTGTTTGGTCATAATCCAGGATTTCAGAGCATTTCAGACAGAAGTTGTTGTGGTTTCTCATTGTCTCTGTTGCTGTTTGGCGGGCTCATGTTTAATCAGAATACACATGTCTAATTTACAGCTGAAAACAGTTTATCAAATTAATCAATTATTAAAATAATCGTCAACTCATTTAGTAATCGATTAATGGTTAACGGGAGTATAGAGACTATAAAACATACTTGTAGCTGACAGAGGGACCCACTTAGAGCGGGAATTATATCAAAATTCTAACTAATATATAAAGATTTAGCATTTAAGATAAAAAAAAAATGTTTTCGTCTTTCAATATGCTCTATCTGGATCTCCTCAAGTTGAAAAGTTTTTGTTTCTCCTGGTTTAATTTAGTTATAAATATTCTTTAAGGAATGCTTTGTTGTCTGATTATTCGTTCGTCATATTAATGGATTTGCTAAATAATTGTTAGTTGCAGCCTTAGTCTAATTAATTAAATATGAATTTTGCTAAATTTGAAAAAAAAAAGAAACTCACTGCTTTGCCATATTTGCTCCAAAGGTTCTGCTGAACATTCCTCTTTTCCACAAACAGATTTGATCAGAGAATTCCCAGATTATTAATAACTACGACTAATCCTGAGTGCCAATTGTCATCAGTCTGTCTGCCAGGTTTATCTGAAAAAGTCTGAGATTTTAGCATGAAAAACACTCCCATGTGTAGCAACTATAAGAGTCAATCTGAGGATCAATCAATGCTGATGTTTTCAAACATTGGTTTTAAATTGTTAAAAAAACTAATGTAAAATCTTATCCTTATTATTTGTGCTTCTATCTCTGGTTTAAACTCAACCAATAAGTTGGTTATTTACGGGTGTTAAGTTTTGGTTTCGTTTACACTACAAAAACGATTTAGAAATTAGTGAAAATGTCTTAAATTAAGTAAATTTACTCTTGAGTAGGTAAATAAGATTGTTTGCCAATGGAATGAGTATTTTTAACCTTTATAATAAGATAATTAGATAATACGTACTTAAAAATAAGACAATACTGTTGTTTTGTCTTAATTTAAATGTGAATTGCCTTGTTTCATTGGCAAAGTGTCTCACTTACTACCTCAATTCAAGAAAAAAATGCACGTATTTTAAGAAAAAATGACTTACCGGTATTTAGATTGAGATTTTTTGCAGTGTAGCCATTATTTGTAACTATACTTTGGTTTCTAATAAATGTGTTTATTTTTGAAGCTTATGGGCAGCCTGGAGGAGATCCACATGCCTCAGAATGGCATCAACTATGCCGGGGTGACGGCCTTAGCTTCAGCCATCCGTCACAACCCAGAGCTTCAGGTTCTAAACTTTAATGACAACACCTTCACCAAGAGGGGAACCCTGGCCATGGCACAGGTGAGATCTGCTCCTCTCTGAACGTTCCGCAAAAGAAGCAACGGTTTCTATCCATCATTTTTAAGCCACGCCTTCTTTTCCTGCTGACCTCGCAGGCGCTGAGGCACCTTAGAAACGTCCAGGTGATCAACTTTGGCGACTGTTTGGTCCGGTCTGAAGGAGCCATCGCCCTCGCTGCGGTTTTGAGAGAAGGTCTTCCCATCCTAAAGGTATTGATGTGACATCTCCACCTTCTGTTTCTGGTGTCATGGATGTTGTTTTATTTCGCTCTTCTGCGTTTGGCCTTCAGGAGCTCAACTTGTCGTTTGGAGAGATCACAGAGGGAGCTGCTCTCATCGTCGCTCAGGCCGTCATGGATAAACCCCACATGGAGAAAGTGAATCTGAACGGTACTCTTAACGACCACCAAGACCACGCTTATTTCTTCATCAAGCTTGAGATAAAAGATTAAAAGATTAAAATTGATTAAAATTGAATTAATAACTAACAGTTGCCTAACTCTGACAGTTGCCTAACTCTGACAGGCAACTGTTTGGGTGAGGACGGCTGTGAGGTCTTGCGAGAAATAATGGACAATATGGACAAAGGAGACATGCTGGCTTCCCTCAGGTAACGGGTCGGTCCATCCTGAGGATGCAGAGCTGATGTTCTGCTTCTCCAGCCTGTTGTTGCTTCCATGGTTAACAAGAGTGGCAAGAATAAAAATGATTGCCTGATTCCATTGCAGCGAGGATGAGGGGGAACCAGACGACGAGGAAGATGAAGACAGCGATGAAGGCGATAGCGATGCCAGCGATGAATGTTATGAGACCAACGTGTGTGACGAGATTGTTAAAGAAAACGGAACAGACGAAGGAAGCCCCGAAAAACCTGAGAGCCAAGTAAGAAAACACGCCCAAAAAAAGTCCTCATGTTGAATCAGATTTTATAGATTTCTAGATTTTATGTTCTCATATTTTATTTTATTTTTTCATAAAGTTTTTGGTTTTTAAGTTTTCATACTTTTTTTTTTTTTCCCCAAGTTTCTGTTTTTTTTGTTTTTTTTATTGTGTTTTATAAATTCTGTTGCATTTTCCAAATCACATCCACTTAACTTCGGGGGGCAGGCTTTCCTCTGGAGTGAGGCACAAAGACGCATTTCTATTGGTCTGCACTGATGTTAGCAACTTTTTTATTGGTGGGCTTCACGTATAAGATAATGTGATCTTTAAAGTGCAAAGAATGCAATTTAAAAATACTAAATCTGAACTGAAAAAATAAATAAATAAAAATAAAATGAAAAAAAAGTCAAACAAAATTTGTAAAAAAAATTTATTTGGCAGCTAATGGGGATCCTAATAAAACTGAAACTAAAAATATTTTCAATTGCATTCTTTTAAAATGTCAACTTTCATGTGGTTTTTCAAAATTGACTCCAGAATTACAAAGTTTTTATTTCTTTACACTCAGGCAGAAATCCTGGCTTTCCTCAGCAGCCCCTCAGCAGAAGATTTGTGCCGTATGAAGATGAACCTTCAGCAGCAGGCAAGTTAGTTTTCCTTCACCTCCTTCAAGTGTCCTCCGATGTAATTCAGGTTTTTCTGTAGCGCCAATTCACATCATGTCATCTCAAGGCTTTTTACACAGACCGATCAATCAGATCATCCAGTCAGAGTAAATGTTCAAAGCTTTGTATCTAAGGGAAAGCAGCTCATTCCTTCCGTCATTTCCTCCTGCATGAGAATGTAGAGACGGTAGACATTTGCTTGCATTGAGTTGTTGACTCTACAGCAATCCCTCCACGTTTTTATGCATCTTTAGCAGAACTACCAGGTTTTGTTCCTCAGTTAAGAATTTTAGTAAAACATTTTCTAAATATCTTCCCTCTCCTTTCTAGGTGAATGCATCTGAACCAAATAAGGCAGCAGACATTTTTTTGAAGCTTGGCTCCCTGTACAGTGAGGACACAGAGACCCAGTTTGCTGTGTTTGAAATGATCGGTAACCGTTTTGCTCTGATGCATAAAGTCAAACCAGACATTTGCATATACTGTATAAAAAGATGAATCATTGCTTTTATTTTTCTCCTGGCTTTCTGACCTTAAACTGCTAAACTCTTCTCCTTTTATCTGAGGTGTAATCAGCTGTATTCCTACAGAACTAAACCAGTGACAGCTCCCATTTACACCAAAAAATGACAGATGGCACTGTAAAATAAAAGATAAAAACAAAAAAATATCAAACATCACTACTAAGAAATTTAAAATCTATTATGATACTTTCTTTTTATGCTGGAGTATTGTTTCTTGGAAATGTTTCTAATTTGCAACTTGTACTTAAAGACTAAAACCAGAGCTTCAATTAAGACAGTTTTGTTTTTGTAACTATGGAGGGAACTTTGTTCCATTATTGCTGCAAACAAATAACCAGTTTTTTTTAATGGAATAAAAAAAAAAAAAACATCTGATTTTTCTTTTTTTTAATCCAGCTTTGTGTTCTTTCTCTAACTCTCTAACCTGCAGCTCCTTGGACCTTTTTTTCAGGCCATGTTTTAAAATGTCGGCTGTGTAAGGAACTTTTTCTTAGAGGTGTACAATTGTATTGTTTTAAATTTCTATTTTTATATCTGAAATATTTATTTTTTCTTAAGCAAACTTCCTTTGAAGAAAATGTAATTATTCTCTTTATGTAAAAGATTTGTGGAATTTCCTAGACTGAGTATTTAAAAACTAAGGGAAATTTGGCTATAAAACAAATGTTGTTAAGCTGGCTTGAGGCTAGGTCAACACTCGGGGTTGTTAATTGTTGCTTATATCTTTTTTTAATTTTTTATATATATATATATATATATATATAATCAAAGTTTTGCAGTTGGGAAAAATCCAAGAAACAAACTTTGTATGCCAAATCTTTATTGGAACTCATTTTTCAGGAATCTTGGTTCTGTTAAATATTTGAAAAAGCCATTTATTGTCAAGCTCCCACCCCCCATTTGAAGACTTGCTGTGTTTAAATATTTCATCAACTTTGTTCATCAGTTTCTTAAAGAGAAACAATCACACAACAATGTGTTTTAGGTTTGACTTCAATCGGCATGGCGACACTTTCTGGCAGTGTCCTCAGTGTCATCTCATTTTTGTTTTGGATGTTGGTTTATAATAATCCAGGACACAGAACCCTCATCCTTTCCTGAGGTTTTCCCTGGTGGGGGTTCATAGTTAACTTCCTGATGTTAGAGACAGAAAAATAACATTTTCAACCATTTAGTGAGGGATATTTGGTCATTCTGGCTGGCCTGAAACGGGAGAAGTTTGGTCCGTTTGATATCTTTTTATGAAGAATTTAGAAATTTCTGGTTTGATGTTAAAGAATAACTTCAGAATGAAGTCGTTCCAAATCTGTGACATTCATTTGATTTTCTGTTTTTCTTCAAACATGCATTACCTTTTGTACAGATGAAGTTTTGAAGAAGATCCTCTCTGCTTCGGCTCTCCAGTCAACCTGCTTCCTCACCACCCTGATGGTCCTGATGGGAGTCCTGAAGGTAAGGTGGAGCGGAGCAGCACATTGTATGGGGAGAAATACAAACCATTGAGTTCATTCCTTGCATATTCTAGGCAGCATAATCAGTTTTTTGGGGATGGGGTCAGTTCTTTAAATATTTTTGTTTTTTTTAAAACTTTCATACAATAAAATTTTAATTTTTTTGTTTTAGGGAGAAGGCAAAGCAAAGAAGGTGTCGCTAGTCCCAGGTCAGCTGTTATGTTTGGAACATGCTGTCCAGCAGGAATATTTCACTCAGGAACACGCCTCTCTGCTTTACACCATGCTGTCCAGGTGAGAAATCTGTTATTAACTTGCTTCACTTTAACTGAGGAAGATGAAGTTTTGTAAGTTATGTGTAGATAAATGAGAAAACCCACCCTTTTCTGATCAGCAAATGCATCATTCTTAGTTCTGAACAAGTCGCTTTCAGAGCAGCTGTTTGTTTGGAATCTGATCCTGAGGGATTAAAGTCAAAGTGAACTGTCTGTTTTAAAATTAAAAACAGAAGAATTACAAATATAAACAAGTTAATAAGGAAACTTTATCTTCTACACTGATGTCCCTATGGTTCATTCAGGCCCAAAAAAGTTTCCAATGAAATGCAAACAGAAATTAAACCTAAAAAAAAACATTTTGATCAAAGACAGTTGTTGAAACTTTTCTGTTTTCTCAGTTTTATTTGGTGTATTTTTTCATTTTGAAAAAACTGAGAATTATTTATTTTATGATAGATTTTATTTCAGACTAAAAGTCCAAAATACAAAGAAGATGACAAAAGAATAAAAGTACAATAAAAAGCAACTCCTAGCCATTCAAAATATAACCATACCAATGTCTCCACAGTACAGGTGAGTATTTTACTGCTTTATATTTAACATTAGTCAACAGTAGGATGATTCTGTTATTTGACTCGTTTATATGGCAAATTTATACGTATGAGGTAGGACCCGGCCAGGTTTACCTGCTAGAGCCCAAGAAGTAGTAGCTTTGGGTGGTTTCACTGTGGTATTTAGACACATACCTATGTGTTCCAGCCTGGTCTATTTTTAATCTTTATGTTAGTTTTATTATAAGGCAGGCTAGGTCAGAGTAGAGCTTCCATTATATCAGAATATAATGCAGTTAGATTATTAGAGCAATTACAGTTTATGCTTTAGGCATTTAGTTGTTTTTCCATGCATGTAGTTGCTTTAGTTTTTTAATAAGAATTTTACAGATATTAAATTAAATTTATGTTTTTTTTTCAGGTTGTGTTTGGAAGTTGTATTCCTCTCAAAATGTTTTTCACATTCTCCTCACTGCTGTGGTGAACCTTCCTCTGTATTGAGGCACAAAGATGCATTTCTGTTCTGCTGGATGTTTTAGTGAAGAGCATTTGGATTGGGCTGGAAGTGAAGAGAATGTGATTTAAGAGGAAGGCAATTCATAGGAAATCTGATTTGAAAATATAAAATCAAAAAAAAAAAAAAAGAACAGAAAAACATAAAATAAAATCTGAGAAAACAGCAGTGTTGGTCTGAAAACCCCTTTCTCTTTTTTTATTCAAATGTTTTTTAAAGTTTAATTTCTGGATTGCTTTGTTTTTATGGCTTTCAAAAAAAAAAAAAAAAAAAAATTCCTTTGCTGCAACAATAATGGAACAAATTTCTCTTAATAATTAAGCAGCTTTATGACCAGCGGAATTGTTTAGTTGACCCTAAAGGTATGTTCACAGCGAACAGGACTGTCCAGCACCAGGCTGCCCGTCAAGGCAGGCGGGGGTTAAGCACCGCACCATTGTTGTCCAGGCTACTTTCACCCCTGTCACACCGTGACCATTTAGACCAGTTTTTTTTTTTTTTTTTTTTTTTCAATTTTCAGTAGAAATGGACAAAAACAACAACAATCAGGCACAGACATAAAAAAAAAAAAAACAATAATAATAAATGGTTACAACAGACAAATGAGTGGAAGAATAACAAACCTGCCAGTCACAAATAAGCCGAATATACACATATAGACATACACATGTCTCAACCAAGTCCCAGGTAAATAGTCTGGTGAGGCTCTCACCTTGTTCTGGTCATATCCAGATGGGTCAGAAATGGATCCCAAATAGCTGAGAACTTTTCAAGTGAATTAGCTCTCGTAAACCGGAGTTTCTCCATTTGTATGACAGAGGTCATATCAGTCAGCCATCTCTGAAAGGAGGGAGGAGAGGTTGATTTCCAGTCCATCAGGATGAGCCTTTTAGCAACAATAATCCCAGGCATCAGGGATTGTCGCATTGCTGTTGGTATATTAATTTAGACCAGTTTATGCCTGACGTACAGGCAATCTAGCAAAAACGACGGCACAGCGTCTACTCATACCTGGGCCATCAGTTCCATGTCAGTTATCTGGTGATTGACATACTTTGAGTGTCAGTTCCTCATCAGTCGTGGCGTTTAGCTTATCCTAAACCTCTGAGTAACTTGTGCATAACTTCTGCGTAACTTATCAAGAACTTCTCTCCAACGCATATCAACGTATCTGACGTGTTCCAGACGAGCGCTGAACATGTTTCTAACTTCCAGCTACTGTATAATGGCGTATTGGCAGCGTTTTGGGATAAAGGGGGTTCACAGGAGGAAACCATCAGTTCTCCTCCAGACTTCATCCCCATCATAGGGTGAGCCAGAAGGTGAGGATGGATCCTCCTTGGGTTCACGCCCACCAACAACAACCTTTTCTTTTCGGCCTGCAAACAGCAGCTAGATTAATACCCAGATTAAAGAAGTATTTTTATCCAGACCAGGACACTGGCTTGTGCATCATTTCATGGGCATTACTCTGCTGTGCATTATAAATAAGTTAGGCTGTCGTTGGACATAAGCTCTGGGCTTGTTCTGAATATGCTATGTATACGCCCAAAATTTGAAAAAATCCATAGAAAGTTCAGCGTATGCCAGCGTTTTAGGAGATTCTGGGACGTCAGGCATAGGCTGGCTAAATCGGCATGGTGTGACAGAGATCTAAAGTTAAAAACGCTGCCAGTAGCTTTGTAAATTGATGTTCGTCATGATGAGGGGGAAATCAATGGGCGGCAGACTCCATGGTGTAGGAGCCTTTCACTCAAGGCGAGAAATCGCAGACGAACCTGGTGAAACTTTTGCACGTTTTGTGTTCGGTGTGAACGTACCTGTCTCTCCATTTTCCTGTATCAAAGAAGGATTTAGAGAAGGAGAGGTTGTTTCTAACAGTTTTGTTTCTTTGTTTTTTAATGCAGAAACTGTGACGCTCTGAAGTCTTTCAGCAGCGCCAGAGAGAGACTGAGCTCTGCTCTGGAGAAGAAAAAGCCCAACCACCACTAACCAACTGAAGCCATCATCAGAAACACACTGATCTTTATTTTTCTACGTTTTAAACCTACAGTGTAGCTGTCCACTTGAACAGAGCCGCTAGATGTATACCTCCAGATGTGTATATTTTATAAATGTGACTGTCCATAATGCTGTAAGCTATATTTTTCTACTTTTGATTGCGATGTATACATTTCTAAAAAAAAAAAAAAAAAAAAAAAATAAAAAATATTAAGCTGCAAATTGATGTTAAAACGGCCACATTGTAACTAGAAGTACAACACATAGAAAGGCAAACAAAGGCACTAAAGAAAACAGAAGTTTTATTGTCATCAAAACATTTAATGGCACAAAGTTTAAAACAAAACAATGTTTTGCTATAATCAGCTGATGCGATTTCGCTTCAATGTAAAGTCCTTTACTAAACTATTCACACCTCCTGAACAAAAAGTTGCACATAATTGAGACAAGCAAAAAAAAAAAAAAGATTTTATCTTCATAACCTCCTGATATATTACCCACAAATGAAGAAGAAACTTCTGGAAGGAACAATGAGTATCTATTTGAAGGATAAACAGGACTTCCTAGACTAAAAAGCCAGTCGGGCCAATTTTTACCGTTTCACACCTTTTTTTTGTGTCACCTGAGCAGAATTAGCCAGTTAGCACATATGAGCATTTTTTTGGCTGAGCAGACCTCTAATTGGTGACTAGGACAAAAAAAAAAACCTTCACAACCAGATCTATAGAGGCCCAATAATAGACGGCTGTTTCTGCTACTAGCACATAGATCGCTAACGTCTAATAACACATTAACTGTAGGTTTAAAAAGGAATATTTGCCATAGGAAGCAGAATTGGTCCCATCATGATCCTGCAGCGATAAACATCCGGCTAAATCAGAGGGATCTGTTCATTTATCGGCATCAGTCTGAGAAGACCCACGATGTTATGACTTAATGCTGCATTTTTACCTCCTAGATCCACGCATTTGTCAAGATATGGGAAGAAAATTAAACTGTTATTTACTGTTTTGTATGAAAGGAAACTGGGTTGTTCATTTACACTGAATATTCTCTTAAATATATAGAAAATTAAAACAAACTTGAATCAGATTGTCTTTTTTCCACAAGTGACTATTTTGGCTCAAATTGTATGAAGTGAAATTTGCTCCATTATTATTGCAACAACGAACATGTCTTGTAAAAGATAAAATAAGCTTCTAAATCAAAAGAAGGTTTTGAAAAGAGTTACAGTAAAACACAATGTGAAAAGGAAGCAATTTATAAACCTCAGTTTTAAAAACAACTTTGGGGGAAAAAATTACAAATATCTAATTTGTAATTTTTGGGGGGGGGTGAATAAAATATGAAAGTAAAACAAAAATGAAACAAAATTCCAAAAACACTGGATTCCTTGTCTGAATTTTTCATTAATCCTAACCCATAATTATGTTTCCATCCATTGTGCAATAGCAAAGGGGGATTTCTGTAGTGTAGTGGTCATCACATTTGCCTCACACACAAAAGGTCCCAGGTTCAAAACCTGGCAGAAATAATCTTTGGTGTTGAATACCTGTTGAGAAAGAGTTGTAAGCATGCATCCTAGGTGTGTGCTCAAAAACCACAATTTTTTTCAAACCTTTTTAATTTTGCCATTAGCCACCAGCCATCACAGTCAGCAAAACTGACTTTTGAAAAAAACATTTCAACCAAAATAGATTTTGTTTCATGTTTTAGGCCATTTAGTATTTCAGTGTAGTATGTGGTGAAATGGCAAACATGCAAATAAGTAACAATAACTTTGTCTTGAATCAACCGTAACTAACCCATGTAAAGAAATCCACACACTAGAGGCTGGATACAATAGAGAAAATATTTATCATCCTAATTGTAGGATATGTGTTTGTTTTCACCAACAGATAACTGGCTAACTTAAAACAGTACCAGTCAATCCTCTACACATTCAAACGGGCTTAGTCAGGTCCAGTGCAATGTGCAGCTGAATATGATAAAAAGAAAAAAGGACTATTAAATGGCATTGAAGTATGGCTGAAAATTGGTGTATGGGTCCAGCTTGATTTATCATTTCTAAGATTTCATCCAACCAAAGAATTTAACCAGAGTGACCTGTAATAAACCATGAATTGTCTTACCAAACTTACTCTCAAAACAAAAATTTTGATTAATATATTTTTCAAGATTTCTATCCCTGCAACAATTACTGAACAAAGTTCACTCCATACATTTCTGAATAGAAGCAGCTCCACTGGTTTCCATTTATAACAGCAGTGAAGTTCATGGAGACAGCAGTGAGATGTAAAGACTTCACCTCAGAGGGAGCCGCTCCTGTGAAAGTGGGAGGAGCTGCTCTGAGGGGGGATCTGCAGAGTTTGTTTTAGATGAGGCACATTCTGGTGCAGAGAAGCTGGACGCAGCTGCAGTGAAGCCGAGGTAAGGCCGTCCCTAAAATAGGTCTAATCAGAATCTTTTTTGGATTTTAAAACTCATCTTTATTACCAATATAAAAAAAAATGAATGTTTGGTTAACCCAGAAGTTTGCATGCAGCACTTTCAGAAAGTGTTGAGATCCAATGGCTTCTCACACTGTGGCGACTGTGAGGATCCAAAGGAAATGAATTTTGACACATTGGCTGGTAGAGACACTGTGTCTTTGTACGCAGTCTTTCCTCTGGAACTTGGACCATGAAGCCCCATGAGGGTCCAGATAAACAGGAGGAGAAAATTCCACCATCTCAAGTTTCTAAACCCCTCAGTCTTTAATTCACTACTTTTGTTCAAGTGAAAAAATCATAACCACATTTTCTCTACAGTTTCATTTAAACAGTAGTTATTTTTTCCTGACATTTTTTTAAATGTAAAAAATAATACATTTATGAATTACAGTGTAATGTTTCAGTGTTCCTGATGGTGTGAGATTGTAGCAGCTGACATTTTGGACCTCCAGGTTTGTAAACAAGTAAATATTAAGCTGTTGCTCTCCATCTCTGTGGATCCATCATGGGGACGTGGCTTCAGGGCAGAGCAAAGGGCATAAATAATTTCAAAGTAGAAATGACAGAGACATAATCAAATTAGGCTATTTAAAGGATATGTCATGTGTAAAAAAAAAAAAGCAATATTAACCACTTTTCAGATTGATACAAAAAATTAATAACTAAAACAAAAGTATTTTCATATTTTGAAGCTTTCGCTAGTTTGCATGAGATGATTCAGACATTATATTTTTAAAAGTAAGATTGTAGGAATTGTGTAAAAAAATTTGTGATTATTGGTGTTTTATGTTATAGACCACCCAGGTAAAGCATAATTGTGAAGTTGAAGTTTTACAAACTTTTCCAAACTTTTAAAAAGTGTTTTGGTCTTTCATCTCTCAGGCTTTGCACACACAGATAATCAAAACGTTCCCCATTCTTTATAACACCATGGCTCCAGGAACCTGAGTGCCTCTGAAGATTTTGGACATTCTAACTTACATATTTATGCTTGAATCATCCATCAGCTGCAGTTTTGGGTGTATTTTTAGGGTCACCCAGAACTTTATTAAACTGGAAGGGAAAATAAATGATGCTGGAATTCATCCAAATGTCATCAGTGTTCATAGCTGTAGGCAGGAAGGATCTCCTGTAGCAGTCTGTCTTACAGCAGATCTGAAGAGCATCTGACCGAAGTCCTGTTGCGATTTCAGAACAGCTCTGATGCTGTCACCCCAGCAGGTTATTTCAGAGGAGATCCCCCTCTCCACAGCCGACTTTTAGAAGACATGGAGCATCTTGCTGCAAACACTAATGTATGACTGAGTATAAGGGCTATACTAAGAGCTATAGTTTTTATAAATTGATAGACTAAAATAGAGTAGAAAGTTCCTTTATTGTCCCACAATGGGGAAATTCCAGTGTTTACAGCAGCAAAAATATATTTTTTAAATGGTCACACAAATGTGGACCTTTGGAAAAATGTATAAGAATAACATAATAGTGACGAGATAAAAGATAAACAATAAAATACTGTATTGTAAAGTGTTTTATTGCTAAAAACTGTGCACCTGGAGGATAAATAACCAATTATACAGCTATGGACATTTTTACAGTAATGGATATTTGAAAGTAGCAGCAACATCAGAGATGTGCAACATGAGACCAGCATGTTATTTAACTGACTAAGGTAGAAACTGTGCAAAATCAGCATGAATGGAAGAAATTATTGAGGTTGTTGGGAACAGTGGTGGTTCTAGAGTCTTCTAGCTGCTGGGATGAAGGATCTGTGATAACGCTCCCTGGTGCATTTAGGGTGCAGCAGTCTGTTAGTGAAGGAGCTCTCCGGTTCAGCACCAGCTCCATGCATGGGACGGGAGACATTATCCAACAGAGATTTTCATTTATTTAGGATCCGTCTGTTTTCCACCTGCTGCACTGAGTCCAGAGGGCATCCAATCACAGGGCTGGCCTTCCTGATCAGCTGATCCAGCTGCTTCCTCTCAGCTACAGATAAGCCACTGATCCAACAGACAGCTCCTTAGAAGATGGCTGATGCTACAACAGAGTCATAGAAGCTCTTTAGGAGTGCCCCCTCAGCAAGAAGAGTCTGCTCTGACCTTTCTCAGAGCCTCAGTGTTGAGAGTCCAGTCCGGTTTGTTATTTAGATGAACATGAAATATTACGTGAAATATTACGAACATGAAAATAGTTCAAATATTACGAGAGTAAACTCATAATAGCAGATCAATGAGATTAAAGTTGTACAACTAAGGGAAAAATAGAAATATCAAGTCTATGAGATTAAAGAATTAAGTTTTAACATCACAAGAATAAAACCTGAACATCATGATAGTAAAGCCACAATATTACAAGAATATAGTTATAACATTACAAGAATAAACTTTAAGAGGTTAAAGTCATAATTACGAGAATAAAAGTGTAACAAGAACACAGGCGAAACATTACGAAATTAAGGTTGTAACATAATGAGAATATAATCATCCCATTAAAAGCTTACATTTCTGATATTATGAGATAAAAAAGGTGAAACATTAGAAGAACAAAATGTTATAAGACTGAAGTCATAATATTATTTAAAAAAAAAGTATTAAAATTACACGATCAATGTAGTTATGGAACAAAATTTGTCGGAATATTTCTAGTATAAATAAGTAACTTAATAATAAAATTGCAACATTTCAAGATTATAGTCCTAATATTAATAAAATAAAGTAGTATAATTAACAAGATCAACAAAGTTGTAACATTTCAGGATTAAAATAATGACTTTTCCGGATTAAAGTTTTATTTTATAAGAATAAAATCTTAAATCTTAAAAAACAAATACATTTTTAGAGTTTTTAACTATTTAACATATTCTTACCTCCATACTAGAACTTTAGAAGCATAGCAGGGTTTCAGGTGCTCCTATTATCCCATGAGGTTTATGTTTTTTTAAAGACAAACCCCTGCTTTAGACATGTTGTGTTCCTCATCCTTCATCCTTCCTTTGCCATTCACTGTCATCAAATGCTTTAAGGTGAGTTATTAATCCATATTGATGTTATTGTTTTATAAATGCTGTTCCATTTCAGATGCCCCACCTGGATTTCTCCAACACCATCTGTGCTCCTCTGTTCTGCTTGATGCTCATTTGCATCCCTGGAGGTCACACAGCAAAATGTCCACAGCAGTGCATCTGTGACCAGATCCAGCTCAGAGTGGCCTGTGTGAACAAGAACCTGACCCAAGTCCCTCCCACTGTTGATGAGGTTTCTTCCTCACACACATAGCTTTACAAAATGACCAATAATTCTAGACGGTCGTTTTACACCAAATTGGCACTATAGTTGCACTGTGTTTGGTTCTAGATAACGGTGAAACTGGATCTTCGAGGCAATGACATCCAAGAACTTCCTTCAGGAGCTTTTAAACACACTCCATACCTGACCCACCTGTCGCTGCAGGCCTGTAACATCCACAGAGTCAAGGAGGGGGCTTTCCGTGGCCTCGGTCGGCTGGTCTTCCTTAACCTCGCCAACAACAAGATAGAAATTCTCTACCAGGTGATCAAAAAGTCACACATCTAGTTTTCTCAACCGGTGAAATTCTCTCTTTTTTTTTTCCATTTATCACTTTTTCTTGGTTTTCATTCTTTATTCAGGTAAATTGTAATCTACACTCACCGGCCACTTTATTAGGTACCCCATGCTAGTAACGGGTTGGACCCCCTTTTGCCTTCAGAACTGCCTCAATTCTTCGTGGCATAGATTCAACAAGGTGCTGGAAGCATTCCTCAGGGAGTTTGGTCCATATTGACATGATGGCATCACACAGTTGCCGCAGATTTGTCGGCTGCACATCCATGATGCGAATCTCCCATTCCACCACATCCCAAAGATGCTCTATTGGATTGAGATCTGGTGACTGTGGAGGCCATTTGAGTACAGTGAACTCATTGTCATGTTCAAGAAACCAGTCTGAGATGATTCCAGCTTTATGACATGGCACATTATCCTGCTGAAAGTAGCCATCAGAAGTTGGGTACATTGTGGTCATAAAGGGATGGACATGGTCAGCAACAATACTCAGGTAGACTGTGGCGTTGCAACGATGCTCAATTGGTACCAAGGGGCCCAAAGAGTGCCAAGAAAATATTCCCCACACCATGACACCACCACCACCAGCCTGAACCGTTGATACAAGGCAGGATGGATCCATGCTTTCATGTTGTAGACGCCAAATTCTGACCCTACCATCCGAATGTCACAGCAGAAATCGAGACTGATCAGACCAGGCAATGTTTTTCCAATCTTCTATTGTCCAATTTCGATGAGCTTGTGCAAATTGTAGCCTCAGTTTCCTGTTCTTAGCTGAAAGGAGTGGCACCCGGTGTGGTCTTCTGCTGCTGTAGCCCATCTGCCTCAAAGTTCCACGTACTGTGAGTTCAGAGATGCTCTTCTCCCCACCTTGGTTGTAACAGGTGGTTATTTGAGTCACTGTTGCCCTTCTATCAGCTCGAACCAGTCTGGCCATTCTCCTCTGACCTCTGGCATCAACAAGGCATTTCTGCCCACAGAACTGCCGCTCACTGGATGTTTTTTATTTTTCGGACCATTCTCTGTAAAACCTAGAGATGGTTGTGCGTGAAAATCCCAGTAGATCAGCAGTTTCTGAAATACTCAGACCAGCCCTTCTGGCACCAACAATCATGCCACGTTCAAAGTCACTCAAATCACCTTTCTTCCCCATACTGATGCTCGGTTTGAACTGCAGGAGATTGTCTTGACCATGTCTACATGTCTAAATGCAGTGAGTTGCCGCCATGTGATTGGCTGCTTAGAAATTAAATGTTAACGAGCACTTGGACAGGTGTACCTAATAAAGTGGCCGGTGAGTGTATATAGCATCATTTCCAGAGATGGCAAAAGTACTCACTTTCCGTACTTGAGTAAAAGTACAGATACTTGTGTTAAAAAATACTCTGGTAAAAGTGGAAGTACTGATTAAACTTCTTTACTCAAGTAAAAGTAACAAAGTACAGGCTTGTAAATTTACTTAAAGTATAAAAGTAAAAGTAGAAACCACTTTTTTCATGCCGTTGCCTACATTTTAAATGGATGTCTGCCAATAGGACTAGATCTCCGTTGTGTTCATTTTCAATCATCTCGTCGTCCATACTACTATGCTAACGCCACCGCCACCAAGCTGCAATGATTTGCCGTGAATGAATACCGCCAAATCTGTCGATTCATCTTGTAGTGGTGCGTCAAATGCAACGTAGATTCCCATCCAATTAGATTGAATTTGGTATTGATGACGTGAAAAATAATAACGGTAACTCCATTGAGATGATTAAAAAATAAAGTAACGAGCCCATTTTTAAAATGTAAGGAGTAGAAAGTACAGATATTTGTGTAAAAATGTAAGGAGTAGAAGTAAAAAGTCACCATAAAAATAAGTAGTAAAGTAAAGTAAAAATATCTGAAAAATCTACTTGAGTACAGTAACAAAGTATTTGTACTTCGTTACTTCCCATCTCTGATCATTTCCTAACATGTGTATTCCTGCAGCACTCTAAGACAAGTGCAATTTCCATACATAAATAGAAATTAATCAAACTGGTTCGGGTAAAGGCTGCACGGTGGTATAGTTGTAGCACTGCAGCAAGAGGGGTCCGGGTTCAGTTCCAGCCTGGGGTGTTTCTGCATGGAGATTGCATGTTCTTTCTCCCTTTGCATGTGTGGGTTCTCTCTAGGTACTCCACCTTCCTCCCACAGTCCAAAAACATGACTGTTAGGTTAATTGGTGTCTCTAAAATGTCCTTAGGTGGGAGTGTGTGTGTGTGTGTTGCCCTGGGACAGCCTGATGACCTGTCCTGGGTGTACCCTGACTCTTGCCCATAGACTACCGGAGATAGGAACTGGCTCCACTGAGCCACTGACTGTCATCACAGCAATCTGTCTTTTGAATCAATATGTGTAAAACAAAACAAACTCTTGATCAGGAATTTAAAGAGACAATAGCGTTAAGGCTTTGACATATGGTCCATAGGCACCACCTTAATGTTGGAATTCTGCCAGGAGGACTTTTTATAGTAAAGAAAGCCACCAGGAGCACACGGGCAATGGCAGAAATAGCTGCAGCTGTGGTTCTATCCAGTGAAAATGATGCAACTACTTCTTTCAATTGCAAAGAAAAACTAACTGATCTGTGTGTTTTGAGTCTAGGAGTCTTTTGATGGCCTTTCCTCGTTGAAGCAGCTTTTTATTGACCGTAACCGTGTGGAAGAGATCCAGCCTGGAGCTTTCTCTCAGCTAGGCTTTCTTAACCTCCTCTCCATCACACACAACCAGCTGGTCTACATGCCCAACCTAGTCTTCCAGGTACACTAACTGCTGACATCCATCAGTCAGAGAATTTACACAAGTGCCTCTTATTGTCAGACCTGCTGATAAAAACATTTGAATCTTAAGGGATTGCAGAACATCAAGAGTCTTCGTCTCAGTCACAATTCTCTCAACTACCTGGACACCGAGGCTTTTGCTGGGTTGTTCACGCTCAACAGGCTTAGGTTGGATCACAACGAGCTGCAGTTTTTCCCTACGGAAACGATGACAAGGTAAGGATGCTTGGGGAGATCACTAGAGGACAAAGAAGTCTTGATCACTAACGTGCACACTTCCTTCTTACTGTGTTGAGACTGCCAGAGGTGACTTTTCTGGACCTTAGCCATAACCCTATGACCTATCTGGGAGAGGATGCCGTGGTCATGGCAAAGTTGACCCACCTCTTCCTGGACCACATGTCCCTGCAGGAGCTGGTCAACACAGCCGTATCTAAGTCCCCCAATCTTGTGCACATGGACATCAGCCATAATCAGTTGCGTGTCCTTCAGCCGTTTTCTGAGGGCTCACCCAAACTGGCACGTCTCAAACTGGCCGGGAACCCCATCAACTGCAACTGCTACCTGCGTCCACTCAGGTGCAACGGCCCATTGTGAAACTGGTGAGATTTTATCCACATCCCATCCCATATGGGATGTTTTAACAGCTTCTTCTTCTTTTATCATCGAACAGAGAGTGGGCAATCCGTCGCAAGGTGAAGCTATTGGGGACATGTGGAGGACCAGCCCATCTCTCTGGAGAGAGTCTGGAGGCCGTCTACCCTAAAGAGCTACGCTGCCAGAGCCAGGAAGCTATGCTGAAGGCAGAGTTTGAGGAAGCAACCAGGATAATTCCACCACCCACCCAAGAGCCGGAAAACAAGATCAAATGTCCTGCCAGCTGTGTTTGTGAGGTGAGAGAAGTATTTTAGTGGACTGGTTAGATTCTAGTAAATTCTAGTAAAATTCTAGTATGGAGGTAAAAATATGTTAAAAAGTTAAAAACTCTAAAAATGTATATTAGTTTTCTGAATGTTTCTCATTTGCTTTGTTTTTGGGTTATGCAAAGTTTTATTTTGGATTAGAAGGAAGAAGATTCTAAGTCATGTTTTTTTGGCCAGTTATGAAAACTAGAGGATCTGCTCTTATAGAAGAACATCCAGCATGAAGGTCTCAATAGGCTGTTGAGCTACACTGGTTCAGTTAAAGCCGGGCTTGTACCGAGAGATATTTTTCTTTTCGGGGTGACTTTCCAGTTGTGCGATAATTTCCCAATCGGCCCCACATTCAGCCTGATCGTGTGTCATGTATTGTACAGTGGATTACAAGGGGCAATCATCCTCTCATGACCACCTCCCCATCAGTAATCGTGAGGTTGATTTTCAGTCAACCGCCGTGGGACCATCGCTTTGCATGCAAACAAGGACTCTCCTTCTTGGTCCTCAAATGAAAACACAGAAGCATGGGGGGGGTGCAAGTGAAAGGGAGTTCTTTCTGTAAAATTGGCAGACCGTAGTAGCCACGTTTACTCAACCATGTCTTTGTCCAAATACGTTGTCGCCTTTTATTTTTAGGGCTTTCAGCACAAAATTGCACAAATTACCAAGGCAGCACTATTTGACTCTAGTGAGCTTCATATTCCTCTTCTACTCATTTGGCTTCCGGATAGACGAGTACGAGTAGCGCCATCGCACTGCGGAGCTGAGTCCCACCTGCATTTTAAGCCCCGTCCACACGAAGTCAAACCCTGGCCGAAACGCACAAATCTTTCACCAAACCAGCCTCTCATCCACACGAAGCCGGCGTTTCGGGGGTCTGTAAACGACCTTTTTTTTATTCAGCCTTCAGAGTGGGAAGATTTTGAAACGCCGTTTTCGCGTTTCCATCTTTAAGCTCTAACCGCATTTTTTTTTTTACACGCATGCGTAATAGCTTCGCCTCTAAACACGCATGCGCGACACAGTATCACAACAACAATGGCGCCGTACTGTGTTGAATGGTAGCTGTTCATGCTACTCACCCTGCTGTCGGGCTTACAACAGAATCTTCTTCTTCTGGAATATCTCCAGGAAGAACAGAGCAATATCGACGACATAGTTCATCACCTGAATTTGACTGAACCACGAAAATGGACCGCAGGGCAACCATGTATAAATATTAGTGCGCATGCCCAACATTTCGTCGCCTATTTTTGCTTTGGCACCACAGCGCCACTTACAGGCCTGGCATACATTTTGCAGCGTTTTCATGCATTCGTGTGGACGATCACATTTATTTTACGTCTCCGTCTTTACGACAAACGTTCTGGAAAATATTAGCGTTTCGTGTTCGTTTTGACTTCGTATGGACGGGGCCTTAGACGTACAGAGCAGGTAGATAGCATCAGAGCGTTGTGCTGCACAGTGTGAGAACATACATCGTCAGCTGTAAACTTACACTGTTCGATGAAATGCTGTCACCTGCACTTTATCAAAAGTACGTGTTGTCCCCTGCACCTTTTACTGTCCAAGAACAATGTTAGGTTCAGTACACAGACAATCGTCGAACACTAGGACCCAATGGAAAACCGCAGCTCAAGCTGAAGCCTGCTTCTCTGAGTTTAGACCACCCACAAGCTCCTGATTTTCTTCCATCTTTTTGTGTGATTGTCTGTCACCGCTGTCACTCCTGAAAAGATCACTTTAGAAACATCTGATGCGCCGCTTAAACAGGTTTGTAATTGGACGGTCAGAACTTTGCTGAAGTCCTACCCTAATTAGAACTGTAGGGTCATCATGCATTTTCTCTGTTTTCTGTTAGGTTTTGGATTTTTAAGATAACTTTAAAGGACCAGGAGTTACGTTCTTGTCGAAAAAACATGGGTCTGAAAAAGACAGTATGTGAGGGAGTCTGCTACTTTAAATTAGCCATTTTTTCTTCTGTTGGGTCACGTAATCTAGAAGGGTTGTAATATCAGATGTCTTAATTTACACAAATCTTTGAATTTGTCTCATGGTCTCATATGAGACTTCTTTAAAGTGTAAATGTGAGTTATATTCAAAGAACTGTGTGACACCCCTCCTAAAACACCCTCACTGGCTCCATAAAGCAGCAGATCCACTTTAACATCCTCCTCCGCATTATAAAGCTCTGAGTAACCTTGTAAAATATATTTTTTTCTATCAAAAGTGCTGATAAATAAAATGTATTAATGTTATATATTATTATTATAATCAAAAAAGGAAAAAAACACAATCTCTGAATGTGCATTTATATATCCAAGCTCATAATGATTGTAAAACTGTGTGTTTTAATCTACATGCAACCCAAATTGTCAAATTGTTTGTCAATTCATCTATTTTGTCAGGAGAGGGATAGTAGAGATGCAAGAGAAAGAGGAGGAAAAAAAGACAGAGGAAGTATTAGAAAACACACTGCTTGTATATAATAAATTAAAAACACACTTGCCCCCCCCCCCCCCCCCCCCCCCACACACACACACACACACTTCTGAAATCCAAATTTAGCCCATGAGTACAGGTACTTTAGAAGAGTTTAGGTCAGGGGTAACTAATTATAAATCAGCAGGGTCGGAATAAAGAAAATCATCAACCATTTTTAGTTATTATCTGTTACTTTAAACTGAATTTAACACTGAAATTAAATGTAGGTGTTTATGTTTCCATGTTATACATTGACCTTTTGAATAAAAAATATAAAAAATAATTTTTTTTTTCCATTTTAAAATCTAAATTGTTTTTGAAGTAGAGAACAACAATCTTTCAATTTGGTATAAAGACAATTTCCTGACTCACTTTTTTTTTTATAAAACACCTAAACTGACCGTTTGTTATTGTTTCTTTCTTCTTTCTGTCTTAATGAGAGCAGTGGGCTTTATGCTGCCCTGCAAGTCTTTAAACCTGGGTTTGAATGGAGACTAAGCCATTCTAAAGCACATATCAAGGAGCTCATTCTGAGCCTGGATCCAGATTTATTTTTGATTCTGTTCATGGTGGAGAACAGGCACTTGCAGAGGGGGGGGGCTAAGGGGGCTTGAGCACCTGCCCCTTTTGCTGCATGATCCCAATGTGCCCTTTTGGTCCCTTTTTTTTTTTTTTTTTATTTGACACATGTACTGAAATTATTATTATTATCTTTTTTTTGGGGCAAGAAAAACAATACAATAAGCCCTCTGGTCACATTGTTACCTTTGACCTTTTGCCGGTGACAACGCACTTGCCTCTCGCACAGTCAGATAAGGCGGCTAACTGCGGAGCTAAAGGTAGCTAATATTCCACATTACACTGTGGCCGCTGCTCATTTGGCCCTAAGCAAGATCAACCATGATCTGACGGATGGCTATTTCTTCAGTCTGCACCGCCTCTCCAATGTCAACCTGAATAGACATGTAAGTGAAACCAAATGAGCCCCATGGATGATGCAGTATTGTTTGATCTAAAACACTGTTTACTCTGTGCTTTTAGTCTTTTACATTGAAAATTATGTTTTTTAATTCACAAAAAACTGTTCTGTAATGATTACAGAACAGTTTTTTTTGTGAATTAAAAAACATAATTTTTGGTGAAAATACTGGAGTAGGCTTGCTACTTGTCAGACAATGGAAAACTTTGAACGTTGTATAATTTCTCTACTTTAGCAAAGAATAGCGGTTTAAACGGAGGAAAGTATAGGACGCGGCGCGCCTTTCTCTGAAGAACTACTGAGCGGGAGACAGCCAGGTGAGGAAAAGCTGTTCTTATCTATCGATTCAGTATTTTTATCATACAGACATTAGGCTGTTGTTCTTGTGCTATGAGCTAGCTGCTAGCTAATGACTTTGCTAGCAAAGCAAGATAACTAAAAAGCTTCCCTGTGTCGTTAATGATAGTAGGACATTCTTCAGTATTACTTATGCAATAGGGGCACATCGCCCGTCAAAAACCTATCATCTCCATAATGGATATATGTCCGATTTTCTTATTTCCTTTGCTGCATGATGTACATTTCATTTATTCTGGCGTTAGGTAAATGTATCTTGAAGGAGAACTCATCCAGAACTACCATGATAGATATATGATAGATACAATGTATGAAGCTGGTGAAAACAAAACTGCGCAGCTTATGCAAGGAGGTTCGGTTGTCAGACCTTCTTTTGTTGGCAATCGAGAAGGATGTGCCAATCATTCACAGTGAGGTTATTAACATTTTTAAAGACATGGCTAACAGAAAACTGCTGCTGTGAACAAAAGAGAACAAAAATAGCAAAAATGCTTAAAAGTTGGAAATTTGTTTTTAAACAGTTAAATCACCATGACGGAAAATACGTTTTTGGATCATAATCTTGGATTTAGTTTGGGGGAAAAAGAAAGGCAAGAGACTGAAATAAATAAGACATTGACCTTCACTCAACACAGAAAAGATGAGACAATGAGGAAAAAAAAGAAAAGAGAAACTGACAAGAAAAAACGAAGAGGAAAGATTGAAGAAAATGTATATAGGTACTTACAAAATACACTAAGACACAAACAGAGTAGGCTTTTCTCATGGTGACATGCAATAATAAAATGTTTGTTTTGTTCTTTTTTTTCTGCAGTTCTGGTTAAAGTTTGATGCAGCAGCTCTGCTTTTCTGAATGGACCGTCTCCATCTCCACTGTCAGTACAGCAAACCAGGCAGACATTCCTTTTTATAGATTACAGTACACTAAAAGGTTGCATTGTGCCCTTGTATGCATTTTTTACAGTTTAATTCTGTAAAGACAAAATATGTCTGGTGGTCCAGCTCTGATGTACATCTTTGGCTAAATTGCAGGTTTGAATATTGTAATACTTTCCTATAACAAAATAGACCTGCAGAAAGAAATTACTAATAAAATATTTTACATATGCATAGTTCTATGTTCTATGTAGAGATTTCCCTTAGCTTTGATTGTATGTCTCACAATTTTGTAATTTATCATTGTTCAATAAACTCTGAAAGCTATGTGACTTTGTTAATATTCTGTCCTAAAATGCGATAAGATGTGCCCTTTTTTTTTTTGAGCACCTGCCCCTTTAGTGGTCTCTGCACGGCCCTGGTGGAGAATCCTGCTTCACAGCAGCAGGTTGAGCCAAACATCCTCTAAATGGAGTGTCTTTTCTTTCACCAGTTCACCACAGTTCTTCCAGCAGTCCACACTTTCTCTGCTCTCTTTTTCTCATCATCTTCTCCTTCTTTCCCATCGCCCGGCTTGCCACAGGTTTGCCTGCTGTGTCTAAAAGTAGCAGCAGCAGCAACCAGACTGACAGCAGCTCATTGGTTAATTTATATCACGTGCAGCCTGGAGCCGGACGCTCCGGAAGCCTTTACCATATTAACAGGAGAAGAGGTGTAAGCGAAATTAGACACTGCCGTCGAACAACATGCAGTAATTTATAAATGTTCTAAATCAGTTTAGCCAGCAGGTGGGTCCTGATCCGGACCCTGGTCTGCTAGTCCGTGACCTCTGATCTAAAGGTCAAGGTTCTTGATCACTAGGCTAAACCAGAAAAAAACGGGACATTGGCATGAAAAAGATGAAAATATTGGTTGTGCTTCTGTGTGGGTTGATTATTCATAAACAGGCAGTGACTCACCACTCATCATGTGAGAACCGTGGCCACACCAAAGTGCCTCGGGGTTTCTCTCCAGAGACACGTCTTCTTGATCTGCGAGGCAATAACTTCCACTACATCCCAAGCAACAGTTTTCCCGGTGTGGCTAAGGTGGTGTCCTTGCACCTGCAACGCTGCAAGATAGTGGATGTGGAGGGTGGGGTTTTCAGCGGCATGAAAGGACTGATATATCTCTACCTATCAGAGAACTATCTCACCTCCCTGAGTCCTGAAGCATTTAAAGGTGATTTTTATTTCATTTTTTGAGAATTGCACATTGTCATAAAGTTTCGTCGCAGAAGCAATGCAACCTGTTTTCACCCAAATCCACAGGTTTACCACAGCTGACTTATCTGCACCTGGAGAAGAACCGCTTTGCTGATTTCCCCAAAGGAGTCTTTAAATTGGTGCCCAGTCTATTAGCGCTTCACTTGGAGAACAATGCCATCACCAAGCTGGAGTCTGGATCCCTGAGTGGAGCCGCCGGCCTAAGAGCTCTATACCTCACCGGGAACGCCATCGGGAGCATATCGCAAGGTGCTCTGGATCAGGCAAGTGTTCTAGATACACTTCATCTGGGGGGAAACAAGCTGAAGGAAGTCCCAACAGAGGCTTTAACCAAGGCAAGAAACATCAAGGACCTGAGGCTGTCCAGTAATTCGATCCGCTGGGTGGGTCCGAATGCTTTCAAACCTCTGGAGGGATCTCTGAAGGAATTGTATCTGGACAAAATGGGGATAGAGAAGGTGAGTTTCAACATAAACATCTTAATGGATGTTATAAAAAGTGCTTTCTGACCATGTTCATCACACCTCAGATGTCTGAGAACTCCCTGGCCGGTGTGGGTCCGACTCTAAGAAGTCTGTTCCTGGAGGGCAATAAGTTAGAGGAGGTACCGGACTTCCACCAACTCACCTCCTTGGAGGTCATCAACCTGGCTGACAATCCTCTGATGTGCGACTGCCCTCTACTGCCACTACGCTTGTAAGGAGCAAGTTGGACTTAAAGCATCTCCCCTAAAGCCTGGCATACACTGTATGAGCTTTGGCCCTTTTTGGGCCCATTCTCTAGAGATGGGAGAATTTCTTTGGATCAGGCCAAGTTTAAGCTTCATTGTGCGTCCTGTGTTTTGTTGTATACAGGGAGTCACAAGGGGCGGTTAGTCTTGTAAGATCACCTCCTGATCAGAAATTGTAAGATCGGCAGGAAAACAAAAATTTTTGAAATTCAGTTGTCCCTCATAAAATGTTCATAGGAGTATTCTGATGATGAAGCAGAGCTATGTTGGTATGTCAGCTCAGCATACCGCATCAGGCCAGCACACCCTTAAGGGCTGGTTATCCTCCCGCAGCAGTGTGTCACAGTGAGCTTGTCGCAGATATTTTTGATTGATGCTCAATATTGAAGCATGTTCTGGACTACGTTATTCCACGCCACAATGGAAGAGGGACAATTACGTACTAGCTGTGGGTCTAGATACGGACGAGGCGGTGAGGAAGTGGGGGCAAGTTTGTGTGACAAAGGAGGGACATGAGGGCGAAAAAGAGCAGGGATCCAGGTGGAAAAAGGGTCCCAGCGTTCTCGCGTACCTCGCTCTTCTAGCTGGTCCATCTTTACGATTCGTTTTCCACAATGGCGGTCATACAAACAAAACAAGCTGGTAATGTACCAAACAGGAAATACGAGTAGAGCGGATGTATATTTAACCAATCAGAGGCGTCCTGTCTGCGGCACTGTCTGCGGTCACCTACAATTTTTGATACAATTTTGGATACACACTTTATTTATTTTTACAGTACATAAAGAACCACTGAAATTCTTTTCAGATTACACATAAATAGATAAATCCGTGGGGGAAAATTAATTACTTTAGGATTAGGATTCACTCTGTGACAACGGCCTATTGAGCCTACTGACAAAATCTAACGCCATTCATTGGGACTGATAACCAATAACGCTCATGCGCGCATGCATATCACTAAGGGTATGATGGCCTGACGCAGTATGCTGAGCTGACAGAACAAAGTGCGTCTATGAGTCGATTTACCAGAACCTTGCTCACTGTGAATGTGCAAACAAACAAATTGAAGAGTTGACCAGCGGTCTCTCCCTGTTCTGAGTCCAACATGTGGTTTTTGGGTGTACAGTGTAAGCAGTTAAATCGCATCAGGGCATCGAGCTGTACACAGTGGCGCCACCAGGGGCATGGCATGCAAAACCCTGGCCACCCTAATCGCCAGTGTAAATTGCGGTAGCATCAGTTTACCATTTAATCCCATTATGCAAAGCCAGCGATGTAACATTAAAAATCTCCAAATAAACCAAGATATGAGTAGGTGTTTACTTAAGTCTTTATGATTTCTACAGGCAGATTTATCCCAATAGTAGATTAAAACCCTCAAAATGTGAATTTTAGTTTCAGTGTGCCACCTCACGATTTTTAGTGGCCCCATCTGCCCCCCCCTATGAAACACTTCTGGCTGTACAGTGTAAGAACATGCACTGTGAGTTGTACAGTTTAAAGCCCCTGTAACACCTTGGCGATTTAGACCAGCCTATGCCAGATGTACGGAAAATCTGGCATACGTTGGATAAGTTATAGGTACATTTTCTCTAAGTTATGAGCACGCTGAAGCACGCTGGTACACATCGACATACATCGAGTACGTAGAATTTTTTTGCATTTCCATGTATGCCAGTGCATGCCATACGTGGGCCATAAGTTACAGGTTAGTTATCTAATCGTTGACATACGTTAAGTGTAAGTTACTCCTAAGTTGTTGCATCTAGCTTATCCAAAACCTCTGAGTAACTTCAGACTTCACCTCCAGACTTCATCCCCATCATAGGGTGAGCCAGAAGGTGAGTGTGATGGATCCTCCCTGCATTCACGCCCATCACCAACAAACATCCTAGCATACATGAAGCTGAATCTGCTGCCACCAAAAACCTTCTTTCTTTCTTTTTCTTTTTATTTATTTTTTGGGGCGGCCAGTAAACAGCAGCTAGGTTAATACCGCGATCAAAGAAATCTTTTTATTCAGACCAGGCGCCTCCGGGCGCATGAGGGGAGTAGCTTTAACTGATGCTTCGTAATCCCGTGCCAACGCTGCCATGCGTTATACATAAGTTAGGCTGTCATTGGACATAAGTTCTGGACTTGTTATGAATACTCTATTTATACACCCAAAATTTAAAAAATATGTAGAAAGTTTAGCGTATGCCAGAGTTTTATTGGATTCTGGGACATCAGGCATATGCTGGATAAGTCGTCAAGGTGTGACAGAGATCTAAGCAGAGATGGCAAAAGTACTGACTTTCCGTACTTGAGTAAAAGTACAGATACTTGTGTTAAAAAATACTCTGGTAAAAGTGGAAGTACTGATTAAACTTCTTTACTCAAGTAAAAGTAACAAAGTACAGGCTTGTAAATTTACTTAAAGTATAAAAGTAAAAGTAGAAACCACTTTTTTCATGCCGTTGCCTACATTTTAAATGGATGTCTGCCAATAGGACTAGATCTCCGTTGTGTTCATTTTCAATCATCTCGTCGTCCATGCTACTATGCTAACGCCACCGCCACCAAGCTGCAATGATTTGCCGCGAATGAATACCGCCGAATCTGTCGATTCATCATGTAGTGGTGCGTCAAATGCAACGTAGATTCCCATCCAATTAGATTGAATTTGGTATTGATGACGTGAAAAATAATAATGGTAACTCCATTGAAATGATTCAAAACTAAAGTAACGAGCCAATTTTTTAAAATGTAAGGAGTAGAAAGTACAGATATTTGTGTAAAAATGTAAGGAGTAGAAGTAAAAAGTCACCATAAAAATAAGTAGTAAAGTAAAGTAAAAACATCAGAAAAATCTACGTGAGTACAGTAACGAAGTATTTGTACTTTGTTACTTCCCATCTCTGGATCTAAGCTGTAGCTGAATACAACAACTGAAAATAAAGTACAGTGTATGCTCGGCTTAAGCAGACAATACTTTGGTATTTCTAATAAAGGTCTTGACATTTTTCTGTCCACCTCTTTTCATCCAGGTGGATTGAGAAAGTTAACCTCAAGGTGAGAGCAACCTGTGCTAATCCTCCTGAGGTGAAGGGTCGAAAGGTCAAGGATGTCTACGTGTTTAAAGCCTGTCCTGGTGGAGAGGGTCTACCTGCTGAATCTACTGGCAACACGAGGCCAGGGAAAAAGATCAAGCGGAGAATAAGTGTTATTCAACCAAACAGAGTTAACAGGGGGCAAAAAAATAGCCTTATATTAAAAAGGGTCAGAGTCTGAAAGGAATCCAACTTAAAGGAAAATTCCTGTTTTTAACACTTTTAGCCCATTTTCTGTAGTGTCCAGGATGAAATCGAATGATCGACACCAAAATTTTGACGATTGGTCCTGTCTCTGCTATTTGGCTCATGCAGAATCCCCCCCTGGCTGCTTCAGAATGGCTTCCATAGTGCATGTCCGATAATGTCCTTAAAACAACCTTAAACGTTCTTTTTTTTAAATATGCTACTCACCGGGTCATCAGCGCTGTTCAATGACGTTCCAAAAAAAGTTTCGTGAAGAAAAACCGTTCCTGTCTTGTTTTATTTAGCATTTTGTAAATCCCAGAACTATTTTTTCCGATACATCACAACCGCTTATAAACTTCCGCTTCCCGTTCGAATCTGAAGCGTCGCACACTCCAGACCACTAGTTGGCGACGGTATCCTCTACCGTCAAACTCAAAGTCCAATATGTCCTCCTCAAGAATCCACCTTTCGTATTCCATTTTCAGAGTTTTTTAAAGTGTTTAACAGAGACGTTAGCACCTTGACGTCGGAGTACACAGACTGAAGCAGAAACACTTGGGCCTTGCGAAAAGACTACAACTAAGCGTAAACAGGCCCCATTTCGCTTCCGGTGGCGGAGGAATATTGACTATTCCAACAGAACTCAATGGGATTTACAAAATGCTAAATAAAACACTACAGGAACGTTTTTTCTTTACGAAACTTTTTTTGGAACGTCATTGAACAGCGCTGACGACCCGGTGAGTAGCATATTTTAAAAAAAGAATGTTTAAGGTTGTTTTAAGGACATTATCGGACATGCACTATGGAAGCCATTCTGAAGCAGCCAGGGGGGGATTCTGCATGAGCCAAATAGCAGAGACAGGACCAATTGTCAAAATTTTGGTGTTGATCATTCGATTTCATCCTGGACACTACAGAAAATGGGCTAAAAGTGTTAAAAAACGGAATTTTCCTTTAAATCAGGCACTAGTGTTTCATTTGGCACTAAAATCTCGATTAAACCAACCCATAGAAAGCTTAGCATTTGCCAGCATGTGATTATGAACTCTTTATACTTTATGCTGCATAGTTGCTATACTGCACACATTTGTAGTGTGCTAATAAGTATTAGCTTAAGATTTTTAGTCAGTATTCAGCACTTGGGGAGAATCCATCCATTTCTGCTACTGTACCTCACCGGTATTTGCAGGACACATTTTCATTTTTATAAACTTCTATTAACCTGCTTACCTTCAAGGGATTATTGATCTATTAGCAACATGCTAAAAAAAGTTTTATCTTGCTAATGTTGCCTTATAACAGGCAGAAGTCCTTCTCTTGTTCATTTGTCAAATAATGTCCATGATATGTTGTTCACAATATTAAATATTAGAAATAGGACTATGAAACATTTGTGAAAAATAGGAGAAAATCAATCTTTTTTTGTTTTTAAGTAGATAACCAGCAATCGAGACCATGTCATCTGATTGTAAATAGCAAAAATTTGGCTTAAATTGTAAAATAAACAATAAATAAATTGTTGTCATATTTAATGGGTTTACTCGACATTTCAAACTCAGTCAGCACTGAGGTTGAAAATCCCTTTATTGTCCCAGAATCGGGAAATTCTGTGTTTACAGCAGCTAAAAGATTATAGCAAAAAATGTGTACTGTAAAGTGTTTTAACAACATAAACACTGTGCACCTGGAGAATGAATGGCCAATACACAGCTATGGACATTTTTACATTATTGGATATTTAAAAATAGCAGCAACATCAGAGATTAGCAAAATGACAGCAGCATGTTATTTAACTGACTAAGGTAGAAACTGCAAAATCAGCATGAATGTTACAACTTATTGAGGTTGTTGGGAACAGTGGTGCTTCTAGAGTCTTCCAGCTGCTGGGAGGAAAGATCTGTGATAACGCTCCCTGGTGCATTTAAGGTGCAGCAGTCTGTCACTGAAGGAGCTCTCCAGTTCAGCACCAGCTTCATGCATGGGGTGGGAGACATTATCCAACAGAGATGTTCATTTATTTAGGATCCGTCTGTTTTCCACCTCCTACACTGAGTCCAGAGGGCATCCAATCACAGAGCTGGCCTACCTGATCAGCTGATCCAGCTACAGATAAGCCACTGCTCCAACAGAGAGCTCCATAGAAGATGGCTGATGCCATAACAGAGTCATAGAAGCTCTTTAGGAGCGCCCCCTGCACTGCAAGACTTCAGTCTCCTCAGCAGGAAGAGTCTGCTGTGACCTTTCTTATACAGAGCCTAAGTGTTGTGAGTCGAGTCCAGGTTATTCAGGTGAACACCTAGGTACTTATAAGAGTCCGCTATCTCAATGCCCCTTCCCTGGATGTTCACCATGTGTCAGGGGGTAACATCTGCTTCTGCAAAAGTCCACCACTAGCTTTTTAGTTTTCCCCGATGTTGTGTGTCCACTGTCTGTACTCTGAGTCGTCCCCACCTGTGATGAGGCCAAGTATGGCAGAATCATCAGAGAACTTCTGGAGGTGGCAGCCCGGGGAGTTGATGGAGAAGTCTGCAGTGTAGATGGTGAACTGCAGTGGTGCCCTGGTGCACTGTTCCCTGTAGGACCATACTGCAAATCAAACACTTGAGACTATCACTATCTGAGACACAGTCCTGTGCCCTCACATACTGTGGGCAGCCAGTGAGATAGTTCAGAATCCACTTGGACATGTGTTGGTCCACTCCTGACAGCTCCAGCTTGTACCTTAGGAGTCCTGGCTGGATGGTGTTAAAGCACTGGAGAAATCAAAGAACATTATCCTCTCACTGTCCCACCTGAAGTTTGATATCTGGAACCATTTTGGATTGAAAACAGCTAAAGATTACGTGCTGGATATGTGCCATTAAGGTGACTACCCACTACATTGATAAATAGGACGCATCTCATGCTACAGACCACCAAGATTACGTCAAGCCAGACAGCTGCAAATATACCCAATAGGTCAACTGAAGACATTAACAAATGGGGCTGACCAGCAAACACCCTGTAGTTGTTACAGAAAACGCTGCAAATATGGTTTGTGCAGTGGAGATAATGCAGCTCATGAATGTCTGCTGTGTCACGTCTGCTTGCTCGAGTGACGCTTCACTTTTATCCACTTTTCACAAACAAGTTTGCCCTTTTGCGACGGTTTTTTTTCACATCTCAAGTTTAAACTATCTAAGTTTGCACTTTGTGTTTAATACGACAGGAAAAAATAAAATACATGAGTAATTTTAAACACAGTTGAACAGCTTTCATTTTTGTAAAAACAGATCAAATCAAACTGAATCGATTTAGAGCTGTATGAATCAAAATCAAATCGATTCAGGACTTTTCCAAAATACCCAGCCCTACCTTTTAGTGAGGTTTCCAGTAAAGTCAGTTAAGTTTTTCACCAAGGTGGTGCTATTCTACACCTACAAATAGGAAGCTGCCAGCAGCACAGCTGTAAAGCAGCTGGATCAGATGACACAATATTTACGTATAATATCAGATGTTTGGTTAATTTTTCCTAGAGGGTGAGGTCTACATGTTTAACTCCTTCCGACCAGTAGGTGGCGCTCTCACTCCATACTGTTTGCCATGTCCACAAGGCATTCCCAGACCAGCTGAGAGACATAGTCCCTCCATTCTGTCCTGGGTCGTCCCCCGGGCCTCCTCCCAGTAGGACGTGCATGGAACATTTCAGAGGGAGGTGTCCAGGGAGCATCCAAAAAAAAGATGTTAGCTTAGCTAGCTCCTCTCAATGTGGAGGAGAAGCGGCTTCACTCTGAGCCTCTCCTGAAAGAACAAGATCCTTGCCCTCTCTAAGCGAGAGCCAGACCCCCTCAGAGGAAGCTCACACCAGCTGCTCGTATCCAGGATCTTGTTCTTTTGGTTATGATACTGATTCATCACCTTAGGTAAAGCCGGGGGTACACTGTACAATTTTTCTGCCCTTTTCAGGGCAGATTCTCCAGTCGTGCAACAATTTTTCGAGCTGACAGATTTTTAGCCTGATCATGCATCGTGTAGTGTACAGGGATAACGAGGGCCGATCAGCCTCTCATGACCACCTCCCGATAAGGAAACGTAAAGTCAGGAGAAAATTTGTTGTCATAAGGTGGTCGTGGGCAAATCGCTCAGTGGGCAAAGAAGGATTCTTCTTCTTCCTCTTAGACAAAAACACAGAAGGACGGTGGGGGTGCAATTAGTGAAATGGAGTTCTTTCTGTAAAATTTACATATCGTAGTAGCCACGTTTGCTCAGCCATGTCTTTGTCCAAATATTACGTCTCCTTTTCTTTTTAGGGCTTTCAGCACAAAATTGCACAAATTGCCAAGGCAGCGTGTTTCACTCTAGTGAGCTTCATATTTAACAGGAGGCATCGACACTTCCGTCTTTCACTTGTTTGGCTTCCGGATAGACCAGTCCGAGTAGCGCCATCTTAATGCGAAGCTGAGTTCCACCTGGTTTTTAGACGTACAGTGTGAGCAGGTAGATCGCATCAGAGCGTCGGGCCGCACTGTGTGAGAACAAACACACTGTTGTACAGTGTAGGTGCGTTCAATGATTTAATAAATCGTACAGTGTATGCCCAGCTTGGCTCTTTACACTACAATAGTTGGGTGCAGAGTCTGCATTATAGTGGCAGCCCACTCCGTTCTCGCCTCACTCGTGAACAGAGGCCCGTCTCACAAAGCAGGTTTAAAAAAAACTCAATTCCTCAACTCTGAATTGATCTAGCCTGAGGTTGAAAACTGATTTTTCGATTTCACAAAGGCAGCTGTATGTTAGTTTAATCAACTCTGAATAGGTCCATTCAGATTTGAACTCGTGCATAACAAGTGTGAAAAGCCATTATCAGAGGAGCCCCGATTGGAAGGGTCACCATGACGATAAGCAACAGGAAGGGCCTGTTTCACACCACTAGAAGTAGAGATTTTAATGGAAAAAAAAATGCAGAACATGTTTAAACGATAGAGGAACAGCACTACAGCTGCAAAGGAGAGGGAGATAAAGAGGATTGCTGCTCGAATAAAGCGCTAGTTTACATGAAGTCTACTGTTGCAGGCTTTTTTGACATCCATCCATTCATCCATTATCTGATACACTTTCCCAATTGGGGTTGCGAGGGGTGCTGGTGCCTATCTCCAGCTGTCAATGGGCGAGAGGCGGGGTACACCTTGGACAGGTCGCCAGTGCATCGCAGCTTTTTTGACATTTATTGGAAAAACTTGTTCCATTTTAAATCACGAAAAATATCTTCTGCCTGATTAAAATCCAATTTCTAGATAGAACTGTAATAACAGATTTTCTAAATTATATTTATGTTGCAGAAACTGAATTTCAGAAAGTAAAAAAAAACTAAATTGTGCTAGTAAGAATAATTTTCTTACATTTTAAGTGGCCAATTTGATTTTCATCAGTTTAACTAAATAGTCATTTCTGATATCTGTTTGGTTTTATATTTTATATTTCTCTGTCATCAAAATAATATCAATTCTGCCCAGTAATAATAGGTATATAGAGATCAGAAATTCATATCTAGACACGCAGAATGTTTATGTTAGATGTGAAGAATGCCGTTCTGTTTGAAGTGTTCATTTTGACAAGAAAACATAAAATGCAGATATCAGAAGTACCTATTCATCTAAACTAATACCGTAAATATCTTAACAGCCAGCCATAGTCTGTTTTAATCACAATAACATTACAGGGAAAACTGGTTTACTAGTAGAGAATCAATGTATTACCGTAAATCATCTAATATAGGCCGGGGTACCTTGGTTTCACTCAGGTGCATCTTGGTCCAGGCCATTATTGGAAGGAGGCCAGAGTTAGAGGCAGGACTCCATTTCTATTTGATCAAAACAGACTACCAGTGGAATGAATAAAAACAAGATTTTGTGTCTCTTTGAACCTATAAAATACTCGGTTAATTTATTGAAAAAGTACAGTTACCATAACGGTATACAGAACACAATTCTGACATCTTCCAGCAGCTGCAATTTTTTAGAATGGCAATACGAAAAAAAAAAAAAAAAAAAAGACACAGAATGGTATCTTGGCCAAACTGACTTGTGATACAAAGTTTTTTTTTTAAAGCTATAGTGTGTAATAATTACAGGGATATACAGTCAGAAATGTAATATATTATACATAACTATGTTATTTATCATCTACGAGCTCAGTCTCTTAACCTTAATATTTGCGTTGCCTTAGAATTCGTCATTTATAATTACATAGGAGCGGGTCTCGCAGCCATGGAGGCAGACATCTTTGTGCTACGGCAGCGCAGAGCCAACAAACTAGCGATTGCGAGATCGCCCATTACGCTCGAAAGTAACTACGGCAAGTTGAGAGAGATGAACTGAGACGGTACTGAACAATAGATGGCAGTATTATGCCTGAGAAGCGTCTGTAAAATTATCTATGTAAACAAACCTCATCACTTGAGAAGGTAGGTGAATCGGACGTCGTGGAAGACATTTTGTCCTGTAACGCTCGCCGTACTGTTGGGGGGGAGATGTTCATGTTGCTGCGGTCTGCAGTCTGGACGTTAGATGTCGCTGAAAATTACACACTGTAGCTTTAAATTAACGGAAACTGTTCTGCCATCACAGCGAAATTTTATTTGAGGCAGGCTAGGTGGAAGTAGGCTACCAGTATCATATATTTCAAGGGAAATTCAGAACAACGGAGGCCAACGAAATTCTGTCATTTTAACGCTTCCTGGTTACCACCAGAACTACCATTAATCACATTTGTCTTTCAGATCAGAATGATTGTGTAAGGCCACTACGATCTCTGTGTAAGGATGGGACTTCCCATGCTAATGGCTTGGATTCATTAGCAAACATTGCCCCCTGTGGTACTTGTATGTTACTATTACATGTTGTTGAGGACTGCCCAGAAACGTTGTTGGTTCTAATTATAGCCCCGGCCTGTGTACAAGTCTGGCCATTATTTACCTCCGCCGACAGCCAGACTGGCCATTATTAGAGGATTTACGGTATATTTAGGTGAAATCAACCGGCCAGCAGGTGAAGATGAAGAATGAAAAGATTCTAAGAGGTAGGACCTGTGCATCATCTCATAGGGTTCTTCCTCATTTTATTTCTGTCTTCTTGACCTTGACCTGGATGATTTCATAACGCCAAATATTTGGGATTATTCAAACAAAAACAGCAGCAAATCAGTTTATTTCATGAAACATTTTTAACTGAACAGACATCCAAACAAAAATGATCTCATTAAGATTACAAAAAAAAACAGAAGAGGAAAAGTGAGGTAGAGGTTTAACTCTGGACGACTCTGTGGGAAATTGATTCCAGTCTAATGGGAGCAAGGCTGAGAATAATTTACCATAATGATCCAGACTCTGCATTTTATTTGTCCGTTACTGTCATGGAGCTTGAAAACAGATCTCATAGGTCCATGTCTTCAGCTTCTCCTGCAGTGTCCTCACTGTTGGTCTCCCACGTCTCATCCAAGCTGCTGTCATTGTCTCGGTTCCTGTCCTTCCAGTCTGGATTCGCCATTTGGTTTTCACTCTGATGGTCTCCGCTCAGCCGTGTCATCCCACCCGGTCTCGGCTCTACCTGCTGCTCTGCCTCCTCCTTCTTCACCCTCCATGGTAAGGCTGGCTGGGGCCTGGGGGGGGTCTCAATAGGGCCATCTATCTCCTCCACTTTCACCTTAACTGGAGCAACTGCAAAAACAGAACAAATGAGCCAGCCAGTCGTTCAAATGCACAAGTGATGGATGTGAGAGCCGGTCACTCACTCTCCTGTTCCTGCGGTTCGGTTTTGATTGGGGGGGCTTCAGGCTGGCTACTTTCAACACATTCTGGCTGTTTGTTAGCAGTGATGTCAGCTTGTTCCTGGGACAGCCCCTTCCTAAATTTCCTCTTTCCTGTGGAGATAAACAGACGAAAACGAATAAAATATGAAACTTTTATTTTGTCTCTTAGTGGGAAAATTTAAAACCAGTATGGGCATATCTATAATGGCTTTGTTTCAGTCCAGTCAGTCTGAGCTTTAACTTGTGAGCAACTGGATTCCTGTTCACATTTATGTTTCTTTTGCTTGTTTATAGGGTTGCATACTGTCTGCGGGATTCTATCCCACAGACTCCAGGGTGAAAGTCATGCAGACAAAGGGATATTTACCTGGTCAGATTGCAAACCTGGGATTTTCAAAACCGGGTTGATCTTGCCAGTGTTGTGCGATGTTTCTTGGATACAAGCAGAGTTGTTTGGCTTTGCTATTTTAACACACGACCGGCATAATGTTGTGACGTGCATACGTTGAGTACGGGTCACACCGGTGTTCTGTCAGATGAGCATACCCAGTCTGACCAGCATACCCATAGTCAATACGCATACGCAAAACATCGGATTTGCATTTATCCCTTTATTTTTTTTTTTTAAATAGACCTTAAACTACCTCAACGAGCATGAAGCCCTTTAGTCATGTACAAAAAAAATAACAATTTAAGGTCAGATTGCCATACACTTCAAAAAACACCAACAAGTAAGTAATTCAATAGTTTTTTTGTACATGCATGGGATACATGCACGTTGAAGTAGTTTAAAGTCTATTTTTCATACCAAACTAAAGGGATAAATGCCCATTGACTATGGGTATGCTGGTCTGACCGGGTATGCTGATATGACAGAACACCGGTTATGGTGTTCCCACAGCATGCAGATCCGAGCCGAGGAGATTTAACACAGGTCCCTTGCCGAGTCATTTGACCCGCGTAACTGAGCTTTTCCCACTGCCACTAAAAGCCCATTGTTCCTGGGTTTAAACAGGTTTTTTGCCAGTATGAATGATTCAAATAATGCATCATTTAGCTGCAGTCTGCCCGGCCGGTGTTCTGTCAGATCAGCATACCCTTAGTCAATACGCATGTGCAAGACGACAGATTTTGGCTTATCGCTTTAGTTTTGCACGAAAAATAGACTTTAAACTACCTCGACGGGCATCTATCCCTTTAGTCATGTACAAAAAAACTATTTAAGGTCAGATCGCCATATGCTTCAAAAAACCACAACAAGTGATTAAATAGTTGTTTTTTGTACATGAATAAAGGGATACACGCCTGTTGAGGTAATTTAAAGTGAATTTTTCATATAAAACTAAAGGGATAAATGGGTATTTACTATGGGTATGCTGGTCTGACCGGGTATGCAAAAATGACAGAACAAGGGTTAGCCTCCAGAGCTCTCCGTTAGCCCCGTCTTCTCAAGTGTGGGTACAAGCCCACTCTACACCGCTCCGCTTCACTCTCTGCTGGGCATCTGGCGGCCATCTATCACTATCCTCCTCCACACCCCCACCGGGTAGAGATTAGCCCCACAGCTCTGAAGCTAAAAAGGGGTTAACAGCAGGATAACAGAAGGATCCAGGCAAGATGGCCGGCATTTAGAGCACTGGGTGTAGCTCTCTCTGCAGCGCGGTGCACATGTTTAGTCTGGAGGTTCTTCCACTTTAAGTTGCATTGGAAATCTCCAACATAGACTTAAAATGCTGTGCGAATCTGTCTAGATCATATTTATCCTCTGAGATTAGCATCTAGTTTTCATTAAATTTGCTTCTTTTGGTGAAGCGCTTATTTTTAAAACAAATTGCATACATAGAAGATTGATGAGGTTTTAAAGACATTTCCAGTTCCAACTGTCCCTGAATGCAACAGCTGGGAACAGGTTGCTCAGCTGCTGAGCTGAGCTGTTGGTCATTATTTTTATATTTTTTTTTACTTAATTTTTTTAGCAAACTTTATGGATCCAATTTTGCTCCAAAAATTGGATCAACAAGTAGTATTCGTCTTAAATATGTGAATTTGCACTTCATTTGAATTTGTTAATGAAATAATGGAATAAGGAAAAAAAAAGGGGAAAACACACCTGCAGATAATTTACCTACCTGCTAAGATATGGAGAGAATTTTGCAACGATTAAGCTTTGCAAATTGAAATTAAAACAAAATACAATCCAGAAATGAAACTAAAAAACATTTTAGCCAAAAAGAGTTTTAAAAGTTTTTTTTCTTCTTCAAATTTAATCATTTATTATTATTATTTTTTATGTAGTTCATATTTTCCATTTAGTTTCATTCGGGATTGCTTTATTTTTTTTTAAGACGTGTTCTTCTCTTCCAACAATAATGGAACAAAATTCATTCCATACACCAATGACAGCTGATTGACTGACTTATTGTTTGATCCCTTTTTGAGGGCAGCTGTTGGCCATTTTGGGTTTGATTGGTGTTTTTAAGACCTGGTATGCAGAATCGGAAACTTAATCCACCGCCCCTAGAAGACAAGACCATCCATGCGCATTTCACGTACTCTTTCTGCCGTGCACCATGGGCTTGGGTTTCTTGTGCCGTGCCACCTGGTTTTCAGGCAATACTGGAAAAACAAAATGAAACGTCTGTCATTTGATATCTAAACTAAACCCAGCTTCCTCCATCAATCCTCCTGGGTTCAGACGTCTTCCCAAAACACTTTGTTTTTATTACCGAGTCCAGGAGGAGGCTGCAGCTGGTACCCCACCAGCTCACACCATCCTACAGGGTAGATATCGGGGGACTGGTGGTCGATCCACTGGTCGAACTCGTTGTCCCAGCCGTCAAAGTGGATCAACAGAAGGCGACCCACGCAGCGCCTCACGGTGGCCACGCACACCAGCCGCGGCTCCATCAGGTCCACCGCTTCCAGCTTCATGTTGGGGGAGAAACCGTGACCCGGGTTGTCCTGAAGAACAAGTAGCAGATTTTAACCCCTTAAGCCTGACTGAGACCTGCTCATGTTTATCCATTTATAGAAATGACCAAAACACAGCCACATGGTGTTTCATCTACACGCCTTTCAAATGGGACTTTAAAACTTCTAAAACATGTTTCCAAATTATTTTTTCAAAAATATTTTTTGTTTTATAGCCGTGTCCACCTGAAATCTGTGACTCTGCAGGAGACAATGCAACAGCAGCTATTCATTTTTAGCCACTCCCCTTAATGGCGGTATCACTGGAAACTAGAGGCTCAGACCCTTCGAAGGAGGGGTCGGAGGTCATTGTGTGACCATTTCAGGTGATGTAACCAGCATGCGTTACATAAGCTTGCTGTGTTACTCTTATTTTCTATTCAGTTTGGTTATTATTGTGTGTTCAATGCTAAATTTCAATGAACCAACGGCTAAATCTTAGGAGCAAAGGCTTTGCCTTATGCAGAAGGTCTCCAATCATGCCTATTTATCTGATCAGATTCCCTTTTAAGAATGGAAAAAAAAGCATTTTGGCCACTTTTGGCACCGTGCCAAAATCACATTTCCGCATCTGGTGTTTGACAGGTGTTTCCAACGCAAAAAAACAACAACGAACTTACAGTATTAAAGAGCCACGCTGGTGCAGCTTTGGCTTTAGTCTGTTGCAGATATTTTTCCCAGGTAAAAGTCTGAGGATCAGAACCTGTCAGGAAACAAACATTCTTTAGATTCTGTAAAATCAGGAGTTTAGGGATGATTTTTAAATCTAATACCAAGCAGAAATCAACACACATCAAATGTTTTAAATCCATTTAAAGATTTGATGAAGAAGCTCTGGGTGGCTGGAAATGTACCTGGAGGAACAGTGAGCGTGATGTTGTTCCTTTTACAGAAGTTAATGGGTAGAATGGCGTGGGAGGAAGCGTGGTAGCAGAACCAATCAGCGCCGTTCTTCATCCCATCGATGCCCACCATGAGGTAGCCGTCCAGCAGCACCTGCAGATCCAGAGAGTCAGAAGTCTGTTTCTGATGAAAGCTGACCCGACCAATCAGATGGAGGAAGGGAACCTTGTGAACAGTGGCGACGCAGATGTTTCCCAGGTTTAGAGGATCGATGGCTTCCAGCTTCATTCCTTCCTCGAAGAAGATCTTCCCCATGTAGACGTACCTGGGCTGGAGGTTCAACACATGAGCAGATAGAACCAGGACGTTTACATCGTTTCTTCAACGCGTTTCTCACATCAGTCTGATACTAAAAGGCCAACAAAAACTTTTTCATATTTATAAGATTTTTGATTGAATTTTACGAATTGGATTCTTTTAAATTTGCACTTTACAGATAAAGTTCTCTTCACTTCAGACCCAATAAAAAACACTTTGTCTTTTGCCACTTTGTCATTCAGCAGACAAATAAAAATCCTCACTCCGGAGGAAAGCCCGCCCCCTTAAGGGAATGTGAAAGGAAGGCAACTGGTAAAACTCTATATAAATAATAAAAAAATATGTTTTTGTTTGAAAAATAAAATATGATAAAGGAGTTGTTGGGTTACTTTTTTTTTTAGATTTTCATCACAAAATGGGTTTTCATTCCAAGACCTCTTTTCTTCTTTGGAACTAATAATGGAGCAAAATTCCCTCCATACTTCAGTGAATCCTTGTGGGATTTTATGTTCTAAAGCAACAAATAATGAAAAGTTTGAAGGAAGTAAAACGATAAGTGGCAGATATATCTTTTCTGTAGATCTGAACTGTAATCACATTTTCCCTCCGTAAAAATAGCAAGTGAACTAAAATATAATGTGTTAAAGGTTAATTATTTATTTCCTGAGCAAATAAAGGCCTTCTTCTGGGAGCTAACTTTTTCACTTTGGATTTTAACATAAATCTAGTCTTTTTGAGTTTTTTTTTCCTTTAATGTTAACAATATGGTATATAGTGTGTAATATAAAGAAAGAAACAAATAAAGTGCAGATAAATATGGTTTAATCATATTGTAACACACTGCTCTGATCAGAAACTGGAAGAAAAAATTAAAAATAAATGTGGGACAGAAGCAAGTCAACACTTTAAGTCTCAAACGAGCAAAACTGGTTGAGTTAAAATCCCAAAATAGGGGAAGTCACATTTTCCTCATTTTTATTAAAGGAAAAGTCCGCTCATATTCAGAATTCTGTCTTCTGAAAGTACTTTAAATATAAAACTATAACATACTGTTCAATAAATGCTGTTTTTAATTCAGAGTAATTTTCATGTGAATGTGCTTTACTGGAGGCATCCATGTTTGTCAAAGAACACTACTGCCACCTACTGGTTAGTGACGTCACGGTGCGGTATCGGCTGTTGATCAAGTCCCAGTGCTGTATCTGGTGTTTGTCACAACGCGCTATTATCCAAGTCATCTTGAAAACATTCTTCTTCCAAATGTTGGCTACATATTACGGGTTTTTTCTCTGGCCAGAAGTTCGATGGCAAATCCTCCCTCTTCAAGTTGGCGATCCAACGACCAACCCGTCCGTGGAGGATCGGAATCAGAAAGGTGGAATAACTCTTTTTTTTTTCACTTTTATCCGATGTATTCCAGCATCCAGCTGCCATGCACGTGGGCATTGTCAGTTTCACTATAGCTCTGGTGAATTTCAATGGTGAAGTCCTCTGGAAATCTTCAATAATTGTTGTTGATTGCAGATGTGTCTAGTAGTTCCCATTGATTTAGCCTGTAAAGCGGGGAGAATGGCGCTAGGCTTACCGCACCGTGACGTCACTGCTGGAAGATGGCAGGAGGGAGGGGTTACTATATTTGGGCAAAAATGGCCGCTCCCAGACTCAGTGGTCGCAACAAAAAATGTTTTTATTTTTTTACCGATTAAAGATAAATTCATTAAATCACCGCAAACATATTAGTTTTTGGTATAAATAATGATCCATTGATCATTCCTTGCTGACCGGACTTTTCCTTTCATGAAAAGGTTTGAACATTATATATTTTCCTTTACTTGGCGGCTTTAACATGCCAGCATGGGGTCAGAAGTTTTTTTTATTCCTCTTACCTTTTTAAACACATTGGGACTTATTTCACTGCTTCCTTTCATGTTAGCTGGAGCCTCAGAATTGTCTGCTATGAACAATAAAAAGGAGAAACTGACAGTAAACAATAGATTCACCAACAGTCGGCTTATTATTCACCCTGAACGGGGACTTCATGCTCTCTGCCAGCTACAGAACCTCATATATAGAGGGAATTTAATTACATGCCATTTTAGGGTTTAAATTGTAACATTTGGGGTCACATTAAATAGGCCACCTAATATTTGTTTTTTTCCTTGCATCGTTCCTCAGGCACCCCTGTCCTGCATGTTTTAGGGGTTTCCTTTTTGCATCACAGGAGAAAACAAGAGATGATCAACAGGCTGTCCTGCATGTTTAAGATGCATCTCTGTTCCAGCACAACTGATTCAAATAATCGTTCCTCCTCTGCAATCGGGATTAGGAATGGTCATTTCAATCAGTTGTGCTGAAACAGAGACGCATCTCAAACATGCAGGACAGGAGTTCCTGAGGACCAGGGCTGGGAACCAATGCATTAGAGCAGCCAGGCCTTCCGATTGCCTGAAGCGCAGGCATTGCTGCTGTTGGAATGTATAGTGCCACAATGGAGCCAAATCAATTTGATGAACCATTTCAAACCAGCCCCCTCCCCTTTTCACAAAGAGAACAAAGACTGGTTCCGGAAACTTCCAGCCAAAAGGACAGTCATGGACCAATCAGCTGACAAGACGGGTGGAATCCCAGCAGGAAATACCCCTACGTCATTCAAGGTTTAAATCCAGAGCGCAAGATCGAATCAATCTCTTTCCCCTGGGTTCCAATGCCTGCAAGGAGACGCCCATTTCACGTGAAATGCTAAAGAAAGCTAGCTGGAAGTAGCTTGCGTTTTCCTGCGTCAAAATTCACGGATCGCAGTGTCCCATCATGCATAGCGCCCACGGAACTGGGTGAGACGGGAAAATCGTGGAATTTCCCCCCTTTGTGAAGACCTCACTACTGAGTCACGGCCTATCTGCAGGAGGACACTTCTGCCTTGATAGCCGGAAGTAAACCTTCTTCGACCCCTAAAGTCCATCAACTTCCTCTGCTGTAGCATCAGACTGATCCAACACTCTTCCGAGAACGGACCCCATGCTGAGACAGACCCACACCGAGCTGAGGCCGAACCGCGTGTTCTTATCTTCAGGTAACACAGAGTACATGTCAGATTAAATAATACTACTTCAGCGAAGGTATATAGGTGTTACTTTATTGTATGTCTCGTACCATGTCCGTTGGTTGTGCTGTTCTATTTACATCTCTTAGCAGGTGATTAAGCAGACTGAAAATGTTTTATCATCATCTCCCTTTTATCTCCTCTTTCATCTTTTCTCCTTTTTTCTGTTTTTCCTTTCCTGTTCTACTTAAATTGCAGTGCCCATATAATCTGTAAAACTCCCTGCATAATTAGAATAAAGCTATTTACATGCATAAATCAAGAGGAACACTATGGCGATAGCCGTACTGCTCCACTGGTGAAAGCAAAATCTGTTGGGCTCTCTTTGACATCAAGACAATTATTCTTACTGCCACATTGCCACACAGGACACTGTTTAATAAAAAAAATAAATAAATAAAATAACTGCATGTGGTCACGTGGTTGAGAACCCGTCTATTGTTACAAGCTGCCAGAGCTGAAAGGCATAAACCCTGGTAAGTAAGCGAATTAGAGCTACAATTATTCAACTAAGAACAGTAAATAGATTTCATCTCCGATTTTGAATAAGTTAAAAGATTAACTACCACTCCAGTTCTAGTTAATCATTTATTCATTATCTGCAGGATTGTCATTTTGCACAACTCTGCTCCTTCCATTCATTGTTAATGTTTGATCTAATTTGTTAAGAAAGCTTTATTTTTCTTTAAAGTCAAAATTGTGTAACATTTGTTCTTACTGTGTAATTTTATCACATAAAAAGTGATATAAGCTTTATAAATTGGTCTGAACAAAGTTGAGGGGCGCCCCCTACGGGTAGCACAACATAATTACAAGGGGGACATGTTAGAAATGAAAAGCCAAGAGTTTTCCAGATAAACCCAAAAAGATTCATAAAATAATGAGAAGATCTGTCCTTTAACAGAAATGGACCCGTTTTTGATGGTGCTGCGCATGCAGCAGCCTGTTACGTCCGCTCCATGTTCTCCTTTCCTACTTTTTCTATTTTATTTTGTTTGGATAATTTTTTTCCTATTAGTGAATATTGTATCTGATATTCTAGTCTGATTGGGGAGCGACTTCAGGAGAAGACCCCCACCTCACTCCGCAGTGATCATCCAGAGGCAGCACATAGAAACTGTGGAGAGTTTCAAATACCTGTGGGTGTTCTCATGACACCAACACCTGTATAAGAAGGGCCAGAGCCGTCTCCACCTCCTGAGGAGGCTGAGGTCCTTTGGAGTGATCAGGCCCCTGCTTCAAACCTTTCATGATTCTGGCTATGTTCACACTGCAGCCTGAAGTAACCTAAATCCAATTTTTCTTGCCCATATGCGACCTGGATCTGATCTTTTCATGACAGTCTGAACAACACAGATATGATTTTTTTCCAATCAGACCCAGGCCACTTGGCTATGTGGTCCTGAATCTGATCTTTTCAAATGCGACCTATGTCTGAGCAGCCACGTTGGGTCATCAAACCATCTAACATCATTAACACCCGATAAAAAAGGTCACTATTATGCATCTTACTACACAGAAGTGGCAAGAAAAACAACAACCATGGCAGATGATGATGCTGAGAGCAGTATCTATGTTTAAACATATTGAAAAGATTGAGTTTCTATGGTTGGAAAAGATCGCTAGATGCGCGCTGGCGCTACTATCCATGTTTACGGAAAAAAAAGGAGCACGCTGGCCTGTGACGTCATTGCGTCCTCTACTGCGCATGCGGGACACTTGCGTTGTATGACTGCAGTTCACACAGGAGATCACTTACAAATCGCATATATTTGGAAATATGAACAGCAACGTAAAAAAAATGGATTTCGCAAAAAAATCGGAATTGAGCATCAAGGCCTGCAGTGCGAACATAGCCTCTGTGGTGGCATCAGCCCTCCTCTACGCTGTCGTCTGCTGGGCCCCTGGCAGCGCAGAGCAGGACAGAAAGAGACTGAACAAACTGGGGAGAAAGGCCGTTTTCTGTCCTAGGCTGCACTCTGGACTCTGTGGAGGAAGTGGCTGAGAGGAGGGTGCTGTCCAAGCTTCCATCCATCATGGAGAACACCTTCCACCCTCTGCATCAGACTGGAGAGGAGCTGCTTTAGTCAAAGTTTTTACACCCTGTATTTCTCTATATTTGACACCCAGAGCAATAAAAAGAGCTCATATATATATATATATATACACTATATTGCCAAAAGTATTTGCTCACCCATCCAAATTATTGGAATCAGGTGTTCCAATCACTTCCATGGCCACAGGTGTATAAATTCAAGCACCTAGGCATGCAGACTGTTTTTACAAACATTTGTGAAAGAATGGGTCGCTCTCAGGAGCTCAGTGAATTCCAGCGTGGAACTGTGATAGGATGCCACCTGTGCAACAAATCCAGTCGTGAAATTTCCTCGCTCCTAAATATTCCACAGTCAACTGTCAGCTGTATTATAAGAAAATGGAAGTGTTTGGGAACGACAGCAACTCAGCCACGAAGAGGTAGGCCACGTAAACTGACGGAGCGGGGTCAGCGGATGCTGACGCGCATAGTGCGAAGAGGTCGCCAACTTTCTGCAGAGTCAATCACTACAGACCTCCAAACTTCATGTGGCCTTCAGATTAGCTCAAGAACAGTGCGCAGAGAGCTTCATGGAATGGGTTTCCATGGTCGAGCAGCTGCATCCAAGCCATACATCACCAAGTGCAATGCAAAGCGTCGGATGCGGTGGTGTAAAGCACGCCGCCACTGGACTCTAGAGCAGTGGAGACGCGTTCTCTGGAGTGACGAATCGCGCTTCTCCATCTGGCAATCTGATGGACGGGTCTGGGTTTGGCGGTTGCCAGGAGAACGGTACTTGTCTGACTGCATTGTGCCAAGTGTAAAGTTTGGTGGAGGGGGGATTATGGTGTGAGGTTGTTTTTCAGGAGCTGGGCTTGGCCCCTTAGTTCCAGTGAAAGGAACTCTGAATGCTTCAGCATACCAAGACATTTTGGACAATTCCATGCTCCCAACTTTGTGGGAACAGTTTGGAGCTGGCCCCTTCCTCTTCCAACATGACTGTGCACCAGTGCACAAAGCAAGGTCCATAAAGACATGGATGACAGAGTCTGGTGTGGATGAACTTGACTGGCCTGCACAGAGTCCTGACCTCAACCCGATAGAACACCTTTGGGATGAATTAGAGCGGAGACTGAGAGCCAGGCCTTCTCGTCCAACATCAGTGTGCGACCTCACAAATGCGCTTCTGGAAGAATGGTCAAAAATTCCCATAAACACACTCCTAAACCTTGTGGACAGCCTTCCCAGAAGAGTTGAAGCTGTTCTAGCTGCAAAGGGTGGACCGACGTCATATTGAACCCTATGGATTAGGAACGGGATGTCACTTAAGCTCATATGTGAGTCAAGGCAGGTGAGCAAATACTTTTGGCAATATAGTGTATATATATATATATATATATATATATATATATATATATGCATCTTTTCCTTCCTTAGCTGATGTAATGACTACATTTCTCCAATGTGAGTTAAATAAAGTCAATCAATTTAAAGCAAAGTCGTTAAAACTCACCAGATTCTTTGATTGCATGACCCACCGTCTTGGACCATCCCAGAGGGTGGACCAGAGGACTGCACATGTGGCACCAGAAGTCGAAGACGGCGTTCTCATGGACATCGCTTTGGTTCCCAATCAGCAGCCGGAGACGGCCACCGATAACCGAGTCCACCATGGCCACTCGGGTCCGGCTCAGGTGTTTAGGATCCACCACCTCCAAGCGCATGCCCACCCTGAACGGGCACTTCATGCTCTCTGCCAGCTACGGAACCAAAAACACCCAAAGGTTCTGGTCAGGGGCCATACAAGTCCCCAGTCATGAGCAGGGAACAGTTTAACAGCAAACATGTCCGATTCCTTTACCTTTGCATAGAAGTCAACAGGTAGAGTGGTGGATCCCACAAGCTTCTTCATCAGATATGATTTCCAGTCCGAGATGTTTGTCACATCTGTAAACAGGCAAACATGTGGTTGCTTTAAGAAATTACTCATTCGTTTTCTGCTGCCTTGGGTTGAACTCTGCCCGCTGAAGCTCACCCTGCGGCGGCACCAGCAGCTTGCTGGTCATGGAGCACCAGCCGATCGGGTTCAGCTCTCCAGAAACCAGACTACACCAGAAGTCACGGCTGCTGTCGTGTTGGTAGCCTTCATATCTGAGCAGCGCCTTGTATCCTGCAGACCAGTGAGTGGAGAGCAGAGGTAGAAAAAACGGACACTAGTTTAAGATAAACGCTGCCTTTCAGACGCATGTTGACTGAACAGAAACAATAAATGGAGCTTCAACATCTAAACTAGTTTTTAAATGGATAAAACCTTGCAGCAGATAAAATAAGTTCAAAGCTTGATGGTCTATTTACACTTTGAAATGAGCACATAAATAATAAAGATGGGACATACCTGCAATCTGAATAACAGAGGCTATCCAGTAGACTTTATTGGAAAGGACAGAGTTGGTGTTGAGGACCTCTACCTTCATCCCAACAACCACATCATCCCAATATGAGCTCAGAGGAGCCTGCAGAGACACGGAAGCTCATCAACTTTATGCTTCACCAGCAACAATCTAAGCCACATAGTTCATAATTATAAATGTAAAGCCATTCTCGAAAAAAACTAAGTAATTAGTTTCAATATAGAGGAGTAACATATGGAGTAAACTCACATGTGCGAAACAGGGGACGGGTGCAGCCACGGCCGCCTCTCTCTTCAGATAGGAGCCCCAGTCAAACGTTGCAGCTGCAGAAAGAACGCATCATTTTACAGCCCGAATGTAGATCCCACTTCCCAGCAGCTGTTGGATTTTTCTTACAGTTACAAGAAATGCTGCAGGAGTTTACTGACATCATGGATGGGGAGAGAATACTTGATTTTCCAGCTTTGTGAAAATTTGTTGATGGAGTAATAAGGCCAGGCAAGAGATTCTTTTTTTTTTTATTCTATTTTGAGAATAAAGTCATAAAATTCCGAGAATGAAGTCAACATACCAAAATACATTTCAGAAAGAAGCTTGGAGCTCCGACAGGCAGATGACGGCCGACCAGCTCCACCAATCAGCAACCTGAGTCCACTTTGAACTCCTGCCCAGTTTGATGCTGCTGCTAAAAGATTTCCTGATTTTTGTCAAACAGATGCCAAAGTATAACTTCACATGATGCTGCATATTCATCATTTCAGGGAAGACAGTGCTTCTTGTAGGAGTTTTCAGAAGATATAACTTCATTCTCGTAATGTTACGAATTTATTCTCATAATATTACAACTTTATTCTCGAAATAAAAATAAAGAAAATCTCTAGCCTGATCTAATTAGTCGTAGTTTACTTTTTATTTTTCCAGCTTTTCATTGTCATTACACTGTCACAAGTATAGAGCAACTAAATTAACTCTCTGCATTTAACCCATCCCATTGAAGAGCATTGTGGGGTTAAGGGTTTATCAAGATGATAAAAAAAGGTCAAAAATATCCAGCCAAGTTTGTTCTCTTTCTGCTCGTATCCATCCAGAGAATGAAATAAGAACAAGAAAGAAAGAATAAGAAAAATAAAAAGGTCCTAACAGTGGATTATACCCACAGAGGAACAAAACTGAAATGCAAAATGATATTGGGGGTGGGGGGGGGCACTTTTATTGTATATTTTGTAGTAACTGCATTTAAAAAAAAACTTTATTTCAAATTTTGCATCCATTACAACTAAAGCATTATTGACACAATAATAGGCTACATAATATGGAAGATAAATAAAAACACAAAACCAAAACATCTTTTCTCAATTTTAGGGCTGAAACAATCGATTATCCATATAATTTTGAACTAATTTAGTAATCGATTATTCATTAACTAGAGTATAGACCAAAAAACAAGACAGGAATTCCCACTTAAAGCTGTAATTATATTAAAATTGTGAAAAAATATTTTGCATATAACATTAAATAAATGCTTTCGTATTCCAATCTGCTCTATCCAGATCTCCTCAATTGGAAAAGTTTTAGTTTCTCCTGGTTTCCCTTCATGAAAAATCTTAAAGGAACCTTTGGCTATCAGATCATCAATCGATTCATCAAATAGATTAATCAATTTGAGAAATAATCATTAGTTGCAGGCCTTCTCTGTTTATTATTAATATATCTCATTTTCTGGCATTTTATTTTAATCCTGGGTTGAATGTAAATAGAGTTTGACATCCATTCAAAGGAATCCAAAAAAAGCATGACTTAACTTTGATGGGTGTGAACCTTAGCAATGGGCCTCTGATTGAATCTATTATTATTGGATCTATCCTGAGCCTTCAGGGACCGTATGGCCTGACTAAAAACAGTCCAGTCAATATGATGGAAGGCCCGGCTCCCATCCACCCTTTATAGCTCGAATCCGTCTTATTCAGGTAAAGTCTGAATCATACAGACATCACCTGTCTTCTAACCAGCATTCATGCATTAATAGTTTCTCTAGTTTTTTCTTTATTTTCTATTTCCATCCATTCCAGTAATCAGTGCAACAGCAATAAAAAGAGATTTAGCTAAATAAGAATAATAATAATCTATTAAACAGGCAATGATGAGGCCTCCTTCGCAGGGGTTTAATTCTTGCCTTTTTCCTCTTTCCATAGGTACAGAGGAATTATTTTATCCCATTCATTGAAAGGTGTGTCAGACATTTCAGCTGCAGGGTCTGGAATAGAAATATCCTCAACTAGATATTCGTTTTAAATAAAAATTTAAGAAGTATTAGATTGGTATCAAACATATGGCTGATAAAACAAAAATGAATGTCTAACAGGAAGTAGATGGAGACAGTTTTTGTCCGCCCCATCTCGGCATTTTGTTTTATTTCTACACATATTTTTGATTCAACGTGTTTTTATTACATTTTATTTTTGATTTTATTACATTCGGTATAATCCTATAAAAACATAAAAAGGTGGAACATTCTTATATCAGCGGCTGCTGCTCTGCCTTTTTAAATATGTAAAGGATACTGATCTAAGAATACATTTCTATGGAGTTCTATTCATGCCAACTACGCAACCAGCCTTCCTTTTAACACAAAAAAAGATTCTTGGGAAATTTTTATCTCACCAAGTTTAACATTGAGGAGGAAAAAAATGTAAGACTCTTTATTTAAAATAAAAAGGTCAGAACTTAAAGTGTTTAAATGGCTCCAAAATGGCAGGATTTTATTTAGAAAGATTTTCCTTTTGTGTTTTTTAGAGAAGGAACTTTTAGCAATTTATATTTACTGGCCCGGTAAAAAAGCTTTTTTTTTTCTGAAGTGATCATCTGTCATTCGTCGTGCCATTCTCCATTCTTCATCATAAGTTGCTCTTTTTCTACCCGTTGTTGAGCAAAGTGTGTGTTATTTATAATACCTTCTGCTCCTGCAGCTGCAGAGGAGGCTTTGGCTATCATCTTGTTGAGCACGGTAGCTTTTTTTGAGGGAGGTCGACCCTAAAGAGATAAAAACATAAAAAATGAAATTAGATGAACTTCTCTGCAACTACTATTCAGAACGCAGAAGAAAATGAACGTCTCAAACTAAAGGTGCTTTAACTTGCATTTGGAGAGAAGACAATGATCATCTCATCTGAGATAATGAATACAGCAGGTTCTGTATAAATGAGTGCTGGGAAAACCTCACTGAACAGACGACCTGTTAAAAAAAACTTTCCTACTGTTTAAAAATCACTTTCTGAATTTAAGACCAAAACTCATCAGATCCCAACAACAGAGGAATAAAATCGCTGCCTCAGCAAAGTGGTTCACAAATGCAATAAAACTTCACTTAAACAGACTTAAATACAAAAAAAATAATTAAAATGAATCCATATTAATATATTTAACACTGTACAGGGTTTCCTCTGGTTAGCTAATTCATGGACCTTTCAAATAATTAACAGGACACTGTTTTTTTAAATGTATGAACTGTTAGAGCTCTCCAGCAAATGTGTTGAAAGTTGTTGATTTCTTTACACCTTCAAATGCTCACTGAGGCCATCTAGCGGTGAAGTAAGAAACATCTGTGACGTTGATGCATCTGAGATGTATGAAAATTAGGTTTATGAAAATAACTTGAAAATTTAAACAAATTAGCACACAGCCCACAGCAACCTGCTTGAGTTGGTCAAAATGAAACCAGGTATTACAAAAGTAAAAATCCCGAAAGAAGAAACTGTTCTATTCTTGACTTCTTTGTAGAAAAAAATAACATACAAGTTACAGTCAACAGCATACACACACACACACAAAAAAACTATGAAAAAAATAAAAACCAACAACTAACAAGTACAGGAATGTGTTTCTGTCCTTTGACAAATCAGTTTTTGCATGAGACATTTAGTCCTGTTAGTATCTGAAAGGTTGCAACTGTATTAAATTTAGGAGCTACATCCATTTTTTAACCCAGTAAATACTGGAAATGTTTGACTTAGACTCAACTTTATTTATAACTCGGGATTACTCCTTCAGGGAAATTCTGGTTCCAGTAGCTTATATAGATTACAATAGCAATACGCCGTTAAAGATTAAAATAAATAAATAAAGACAGTATAAAAAAAGTGTATATGATATAAGAAAGCATAAAAAAGTTGTAATGTCCTGGAATATGTTTTCTTTAGATATAAAAATATCTGCAGAGTAAAGAGCTAAGGAAAGACTACACAGTAGTTGACTTGGATTATTTCACTTGTGCTGCAGAGATGTACTGACCTTATAAATTAGTAAAAAATTACACAGGCTACGCAGTAGCAGGCATGTGTTATTGAACAGTAAGAGGAGATTATTGCACATGAGCTAACCCTTGCCCCTCTTCCCATCACCTCCTCCTTCCCCTAAGTGAGGATTTGTAGAATTCAATTCAGTTTATTTCTATAGCACCAATTCACAACACGTCATCTCAAGACACTTTACAGTTCACCAGATCATACAGTTAGATTGATTCAAAGTTTTCTATCTAAGGAAAACCAGTTGATTGCATCAAATCATTGACTAGAAATCAATCCCCCACACTAAGCATGCTTGTAGCGACAGTGGAGAGAAAAAAACTCCCCTTTAACAGGAAGAAACCTCCAGCAGAACCAGGCTCAGTGTGAGCGGCCATCTGCTGAGGCCGACTGGGGTTCAAGGAGACAGAAGCAGAGATAGAAAAAGCAGCTGTAAAAGGCGGCCCCGTCCAGGAAACACACAGCCAGGCAGACGAGCTCCGAGCCAGCTCCCATGTCAGAGGATGAACTCAACTCAAACTGTATTTATAAAGCACATTTAAAACAACCGGGGTTGACCAAAGTGCTGTACAGATATCACAGTTGCAGGAAACAAGGTAAAAACCTAAAAGCTAAAATACATAAACACAATGCAATAAAATAGAATAAAATAAGTTAGAATGTAATTTCTGCCAGATGTCCACTTAGACTTGATTAAAAGCCAGGGAGACAAAGATTGCTTTGTGAAGAGAGCACATCCAGCCAGTCAGTCAGAGAAACAGGACTACACTGAAAAACAGGCCGATCTCCAACATTTATAAACAAAGGCGTTGATGGCAGCAGCACAGCTGATATTTCTCTTGATGGTTTGTGTAACAAAGGAATTCAGCAGACTGCATTTGGGGAGGAGTAATCTCCTGAGTTTACCTGGTCTGTTTCTGTTGTATTAAAGCAACACCCTCTGCTGCAGAAAGAGCAACACATTTAAGCTCTGATGTTTTAATAAAACCACCACTAACTCAGAATCAGAAAATCGAGAAAAACCCGATGGTTGTATTTCTGCTGAGACAAACACTCAATAAAAATCTATCATTTAAATGTAAAGCAACAAAAACACCCACAAATTCTTCGACATTTCAAAAAGTCTGGATTGGTGAAAAGGGTCTAATGTATTTATAGTCTTTTCAGGGCTCCATGTGGTCCCTGTTTAACACAGGACCGGCCCTGGCTGCCCCCGGACACGGCGGTGCCCGCGGAAACTCACCCTCCGCTTGAGTCCGGGGGCCGGGTCGGGGGCCGAGCAGGTCGGGACGGCGGTGGCTTTGAGGATGTGGCTTCGGCGGCTCTGAAAGGCGTCTGCCTGGACGTAGTCGTCGTCACTGAAGTGTTTGTGGCAGACTACCAGATTGCTGAGAACGTGGTTCGGGGTCTTTGGGTCGATGTTCAGAATAAACAACCACTGTCTGAGTCGCTCCGGGTTGCTCATCGGTAACCGATGGCAGGTAATCCCAATCTGCTTGCTGGAGCAGGACTCCACGCAGCAATAGTTCACCATATTTTACATTAAATTCGGTTTAAACGGCAAATGTAAACACGCCCCTCCACACAACAGTGGAATTTAAGTCCAGCGCGGTCATCTTCTTCTTCCTTTAAGCGGCAGGATGGGTCGACGCGCATAGCTCAGTGCTGCCTCCTACCGTTCACTCCACAAACATAAAACTACTTCTTCATTGTTAGGTTAGAAAACAACTTTAATATACATTACCGCGATCTACCGGTATGTAATTTGAAAGAAAATACAGTTCTAACATTTCAGTTTTTTTAAATAATAAAATATAAGATATATAATTAAATACAATAAAATAACTAATATATCTTAGACTCAGGGACAGATTTAGTAAATGTGGGGCCCTAGGCAAAGACAGGCAGGGGGCCCTCTGAATGGAGAAGACAACACATAAAACAGACCCATTCTACAGATAGAGAAATGTTAATAGAATAGACATCCATTATCTGTTCTAGGTTGTGTCCCTTTTCTTCTTGTTTTCCTCTATGTTTTGTACTCAGCTGACTTTTCATGCTGTCTCTAAAGGAATGAAAGATTTTTTCCAAGCTCTAAGCTCACTTAGCTGATTGCTCCTTCCTGTGTTTCCAAAAAGGCCAAAGTAAATAACCCAGTCCTTCTTTTCATTGTAGACAAGCCATGATCTGCTTCTCTGTTCTCCATTTTTCATTTGGATGAAATAATAGCTGCATGAATCATGACAGCAGACAAGATAGAGGAGAGCAGGAGGCGGGGTTACCAATCTACTTGCTCTGGAGAGCAGAGTTCGCTGCTTTTAGATGTTGTCTCTAAAGTTTCCAGTAGCAGAAAAACGTCTCTAGATTTGGCGCTAAGCGCTTTTTTGAAATCAAAGTGCTAGAGGGGTCTGAAAAGTTGCTAAATATAAAATCATAAAATTCCGAGAATAGGTTTAACTCTGACCTGCAGGCGTGCCAGTATGGAGGACTTCTTGGAGTTTGAGGAAAAGGAACGAGAACAGGATAAGCTGCAGAAACGTTTTGATTTTGAGAAGAAGGTGTTGAAACTTCCTGTCACTCCACACATCTCACAAATCACTGTAAAGTGGAGAAAGTAATCAGAACCCTCATTTTATACAAAACATCAAGAAACATTTTCATCATACAGTATAGCCATTCAAAATTTCCCCACTTTCCTGGATGGGTCCTTGGCTGGTCCCCAACTATTCCTTTTTAAACATCAATCTTTGTACTAAAATATTATTTCTGTCAAGATTTGTGGACATTAAGATATAAAGAGAAGCATCATCATCTCCTGGTTAGACCCTGTAATTCAGTGAAAGAGAGGAGTCAGAGTAGAAAAAATGGAAGAGGGGGTCACTCCAGTGGCTGGAAGTTGGAGGGGATTTTGCTGGGAGTTGGGAGGGAAGTGGGCTGCCATTCAGCTGGGGTTTAACTGGGAAGGGGCATTTTAAATGGCTGCTACTGTAAGATGCCTTGTTGTTCATTATCCTTCCTTACGTGGTTCATCGCCTCTCTGCTTTTCCCTGGAGATCCTCCTTCCTTTTGGCAAACTTTCCTCTTTACCAATGTTTTCATCTTCAGCCTCCTTTTCCTTGCTTTCTTCCTGCGAAGAAATGTGAAAATATTTACATTCTAACTGTGACCCACTAAGAGGCATACAGAAAACCCCACATTGAGCATCTTACAGTATCCCTGCGCTCTGTGGAGTTGGTGCAGTGCTGGATGGAAGGCAGGCACTTTCTGCAGCCCACTCCACTGCAGAGGGAGCAGTGTGGACGGACAAACACCGTGGGAGCTGCTCCGGGCCTCAGCTTCAGAGCTCCTGATGGCAGCTTCCCCTCAAAGTACTCTTTGCCGAAGTGATCGCTGCAGAGGTGGGAGAAATGCGTGGCCGCCCACTTCACGCGGGTCCTCTGAACTTGTTTCTCCCATTTCCGAAACTCATCTGGATCCTTTGGGAACTTAAACAAGGTCACCCCATCTTCTACAGTTTTGCCACATCCATAAGCCACGCAGTGGTAGGGCATCTTTGAAACGGGACCATCAGCTTCTCAAAGGCCTGATTCCAGAGGGTTCTTTTTACCTTTGACCTATTTACAATCACATCAAATCAGAAAGAGATGGGGGGGGGGAACAAAAACAAATATGAGGTTGTATTCCGCAAAAATAAATTACATACAAAAACGACTATTATTTCTCCTCTAGACACTATATGCTAAGCCTTTCAAAGAAATAATAGCCATATTTAATATTTAGCTTCTTGTTTTGCACATATTTTTACAGCTAACCTAAAAGTGAGCTACTGTGAATGCTATCTAGATAGCAATAATAGCTGCACTCGTTCTTCTCTCAGTGACACATCAAAATATTAGATACTACCTCCAGCTAGGTTATGAATCCAATAAGGACTAAGAAGTTTGTTGAAAACATTTAAAACTGTAAAATGTTTACATATGAGCAGATGAGCATCCTATATGAAGCCAGAACATCCGTACAGTAGTGACAGTAGCTTCCTCTTAGCTCTTATTATTGTTCAGTTAAACAGCACGCGACTCTCTACTGCCATCTACTGGTACAAACGCGGTTTCTTCTTCTTCTTTGACATTTTTGGCGGTTGGCAAACAACAGATAAATGCATTTCCGCCATCTACTGGAATGGAGTGTGGACCAGAATGACTCTCAGGAATTAAATTCTATTATATAAATGTGTTATTTTTAGATATCGAAATACTATACTGTAAATATTACTATCTGAATAACTTCTGAATAATTGAACAAAATCTAATTTAACTTTTACTTTACTCAAATTTTGAATGAATTGCTTTCTCTCCTCCTCATATTTGTTACAGTATAACATCACATGCTCAACTGTTTCATCTACCCCACAATATTCACATTTCCCATTCCTATGTTTTCCTAAGATAAACAGAGTACCATTTAATCCGGTATGACCAAACCTCAATCTAGAAATTATTGTTTCTTCTCGTTCTTTCTGTTCTTCTCATTTCTCCAATTTTCTTTTGAATTTTATAAAACCAACGTCCTTTATTTCCTTTCTCCCATTCGTTTTGCCAATTATCCTTTATTTTCTGTTTAATTAACATTTTAACTTCAGATTTGCTAAAATTAACAAATAAATCCACTGACACATTTTTAGCAGCTTCTTTTGCTGCCTTATCTACTTGTTTACAAACGCGGTTTGGGGAATTAATGTGAAGTTGTAGGAGGCATTGATTTTAACATATTCTACTAATGGGAATATGCATTTATAAGCATGCATATAAGTAAGATATATGCAAAGTATCCGTAAAAATACATTTCAAGATACTTTTTTATTTTTATATTTTTTATTGGTTTACTTATTTAATGTGAATGGATTTTAAAGACAAAGTCCGGTCATATTCAGAATTCAAACCTCTGAAATTACTTTAATTATGAAATTATTACATACTGTTCAATAAATTATAATTGTTTATAATTCAGAGTAATTTTCAAGTGAATGTGCTTTACTGGAGGCATCCATGTTTGTCAAAGAACACTACTGCAGCCTACTCGTTGGTGAAGTCAAGGTGCGGTATCGACTGTTGATCAAGTACATTTCTCCAATTGGAGATCAAGTTCAATTTAATCATGACCAGTGGAAGTGGCTCCGCAAGGAGAGCTCTGATAGTGAAATGATGATTCTTACTACACTGCTCAAAAAATCATGCTGTTTATTTCTCCTGATATGGACTGGGTGATGTGTTAGGAACAAAAGGATGCCACATCATTTGATGGTAATGAAAATTATCAACCTACAAAGGGCTGAATTCAAAGACACCCCAAAAATTACAGTAAAAAAATTATGTGGCAGGCTAGTCCATTTTCTGAAATTTAATTGCAGGAACTCAAAATGGTATTCAGTAATTTGTATGGCCCCCACGTGCGTGTATGCATGCCTGACAACGTCGTGGCATGCTCCTAATGAGACGACGAATGGCGTCCTGGGATATCACCTCCCAGATCTGGACCAGGGCATCACTGAGCTCCTGGACAGTCTGAGGTGCAACCTGGCGGCATCAGATGGATGGAAACATACTGTCCTAGAGGTGTTCTATTGGATTTATGTCAGGCGAGCATGGGGGCCAATCAATGGTATCAATTCCTTCATCCTCCAGTAACTGCCTGCATACTCTCGCCACATGAGGCCGGGCATTGTCGTGCACCAGGAGGAACCCAGGACCAACTGCACCAGCACAGGGTCTGACAATGGGTGCAAGGATTCATCCCAATACTTAATGGCAGTCAGGGTGCTGTTGTCTAGCCTGTATAGGTCTGTGCGTCTCTCCATGGATATGCCTCCCCAGACCATCACTAAACGATGTCACAGGCAGCATACCATTGTCCACGGCATCTCCAGACCCTTTCACCAGACGTGAAAGGAGATTTTGCTGGGAGACACAGCAAACCTTCTGGCAATGGCACGTATTGATGTGACATCCCGGAGGAGTTGGACTGCCTGGGCAACCTCTGTAGGGTCCAGGTAGCGCCTCATGCTAACAGTGGTGACAGTGACCCTCGTTGTTGCCCCTCTAGTGCACCTGTTGTTAAAGGAATAGTACACCCAAAACATGATTAGCCTTCATTTTCTACTCACCCCACTGCTGAACAACACTCTGGAGTACTTTTTTGATATCTCAAATGCATCTGGAGATCTGGGAGGCTTCTTGCTGTCTGCTGACATTCAAATAATGGAGGTCTATGGTGCCCGAGGCAGAAAGGTCCATAAAAGTCCACAAAAAACTTGTCAATATTCCTCCATACTGCTCGTCCAATGTATTCCAAGTGTCCTGAGTGGGTAGCATCCAGAATTTACTCGAAACGAAGTCATTTAGAATGTTTTTAGAGCATAAACAGTAGTGTATAGGATTTCCTGAAAGCGCGCGCCTGCAAGTTCATGACGCTACGGAAACCGCGGCAGACCAAACCAGATGAAAGTGCGCATTCAGCTCGGCAAAGAACTCATGCTCTTCCTCAACACTGAAGTCCTCAGACATTTTTCTTTCGTTGTTTCTTTCTTTGCACAGGTAAACAGCACATTTCTTCTTCTACGCTTGCATTATCGGCAGAGCAGACGCTGAATGCGCACTTTCATCTGGTTTGGTCTGCCGGCTTCCGTAGCGTCGTGAACGCGCAGGCGCGCGCTTTCAGGAAATCCTATACACTACTGTTTATGCTCTAAAAACATTCTAAATGACTTTGTTTCAAGTAAATTCTGGATGATACCCACTCAGGACTCTTGGAATACATTGGACGAGCAGTATGGAGGAATATTGACACGTTTTTTGTGGACTTTTATTGACCTTTCTGCCTCGGGCACCATAGACCTCAATTATTTGAATGTCAGCAGACAGCAAGAAGCCTCCCAGATCTCCAGATGCATTTGAGATATCAAAAAAGTACTCCAGAGTGTTGTTCAGCATGGGGGTGAGTAGAAAATTAAGGCTAATCATGTTTTGGGTGTACTATTCCTTTAATGTCCTTAACACCAAAGCAACTGAAACTGATTAACAACCCCCTCTGCTACTTACCTGATCAAATCAATATCCCAGAAGTTTAATTAACTTGATTCTATACTCTGATTACAAAGTGTTCCTTTAATTTTTTTGAGTAGTGTATAAGAAAGTTGGAGAGGTGAGTGGATCCGGAGCAGAAGGTGGTGGTCGGTTGTGTGATGTAAAACATAGCAGTCAGGCTGAGTTCCTGGGACTGAGGTGGTTTGAGTGGTTAGATGGTGTGGGCTTTCAGGTTATCATCAGATTTAGGGGCAGCGTGATGGTCAGTGGAGGAGCAGTTACCAGACTTGAGAATCTTTATCCAATAGTTTTGGATGATTTTTACTTCTGTTCGGTCTCTAAATCATGTCACAGACTCTGCATCAAACTGACCATATCAATGTATTTTTTTGCACCATGATTTTTCTCCCACAATGTATATTCTGCAGCACTTTAAGGAAATGGAAAATTAGTAAGAGTTGTACAAAATACTATCAGCCTGGGCCTTCTTTCCTGAACCTTTCAGAAAATATTTTAAAGTGGGCTTGGTAGTGTTCTATCTTTTGAGTTAGAGCAGTTGATTCTTAGGCCCTGTTTTATTGTTTGTCCTGTTTGTTGATTGCCCCCATCTGTCAAATGGTTTTTAAAACTTCCCTATGCCCAACCAAAACTTCTTCTCTCCAAATTCCTCCAACTTAGTTTTTCCTTCTTCACCTACAGAAATCAAGTTTCATCTGACCATCAGATAGTGTCTTCTGTGTCAGGAGAAGAATTTCATATTCAGTGAATGGAATCCATTTTTGCTGTTGCTTGCCAACTGGTCTTTAGGTCACAGCTTCTGAAAATCATATTTGCAATAGAAGCTTGAAAAATATCCCACACAGATTGTATATCCCAATTTTCTTTAAAAGAGGATAGAAAACATTTTAAGGTGCAAGAAGAAGATCAACCAAGCTGGATGGTGCAGCAGATGTTTCCATCTCCTTCTTACCACTGGTTTTAGTTTATCTTGTTTGTTTGGGAGCTTCACCCAGACATTTATCCACACCAGGTGGATGACATGTTCACGACTCTTGCAATCTTTTCACTTGAGTGTCCAAGACAAAACGTAAAATGCCAGAGAAAATGTCAAGGCTTAGACAATTGGACCCAGAATTCAGGCAGAGAGAACAGCTTCATTCAAAGGAATGTCGCTTTATTTAAAGGCTCTGGATTTGCAAGGCATCAGCTGGGACCAGCTTGCTGGATTCTCTGCAGAAACACACAACATGCAGCGGGAGCTGCCCAGAGAGTTACAGGAGCGGAGCAGAGCAGCCAGCAGATTCTGATGAGCAGTAGGGTCCAGATGCAGAATCCAGAACAGATAGCGAAGCCGGGGGCCAGACCAGAAGATCAGAGAGATGCAGAGGTACCAAGGGAATATTCACAGCTGGAGTCAGAAGACAGGTCCAAGGTAGTTTGCAGGCAGAATCCAGGTAACAGTCCAAAAAAACGATCAGACAACAGAGCAGAAAAGGGGCAAGCAAAAACTCAGAAGTCCGGGTACAAAAACTTGTCAAGATCAGAAAATCAGAAACTCACATATTGCTAGAAGACTCTTACACTTGGCTTGAATAATCTGGCACCGGTGGCTGGAAAACAGGCAGCATTAATACGAGCTTGAAACAGGTGGATCGGATAAGCTGTAATGAGAAACCAGGCAGAGTTAAACAGGTGAATTATAAAGGTTTCCTGGCCTGAACATGATGTCTATTGTGGACCCTTGAAGCCAAACAGACCATGCTCAATAAACAGTCTCCATGATGGTGTCCTAGTCTTACTGTTTCTATTCTCATCCTGTGCAATAATTAATGTATTACAATTGTCATGAGAAAAAAGTATTCAACTATTCATCCTAGTTAAATAAACATAAATAAATAATTACAAGTTATAATAATGAATTAAAATTCATTATTATAACTTAGTATAGTGTAAGTTTAAT